TGATGAAATCAAACAAAGTTTAATTTTGGACCCTTTTGACCTCAATGTGGACAAAGTTGATAACGGGGCCCAAAAATCAAAAATCTAAATACATGGTTAGATTCAGCATATCAAAGAACCCCATATATTCAATTTTTGTTGAAATCAAACAAAGTTTAATTTTGGACCCCGATTTGGACCAACTTGAAAACTGGGCCCATAATCAAAAATCTAAATACATGTTTAGATTCAGCATATCAAAGAACCCTAAGAATTCAATTTTTGTTAAAATCAAACAAAGTTTAATTTTGGACCCTTTGGATCTTAATGTAGACCAATTTGAAAACGGAACCAAAAATTAAGAATCTAAATACACGGTTAGATTCGGCATATCAAAGAACCCCAACAATTCAATTTTTGATGAAATCAAACAAAGTTTAATTTTGGACCCTTTTGACCTCAATGTGGACAAAGTTGATAACGGGGCCCAAAAATCAAAAATCTAAATACATGGTTAGATTCAGCATATCAAAGAACCCCATATATTCAATTTTTGTTGAAATCAAACAAAGTTTAATTTTGGACCCCGATTTGGACCAACTTGAAAACTGGGCCCATAATCAAAAATCTAAATACATGTTTAGATTCAGCATATCAAAGAACCCTAAGAATTCAATTTTTGTTAAAATCAAACTGAGTTTAATTTTGGACCCTTTGGACCTTAATGTAGACCAATTTGAAAACGGAACCAAAAATTAAGAATATAAATAAACGGTTAGATTCGGCATATCAAAGAACCCCAAGAATTCAATTTTTGATGAAATCAAACAAAGTTTAATTTTGGACCCTTTTGACCTCAATGTGGACAAAGTTGATAACGGGGCCCAAAAATCAAAAATCTAAATACATGGTTAGATTCAGCATATCAAAGAACTCCATATATTCAATTTTTGTTGAAATCAAACAAAGTTTAATTTTGGACCCCGATTTGGACCAACTTGAAAACTGGGCCCATAATCAAAAATCTAAATACATGTTTAGATTCAGCATATCAAAGAACCCTAAGAATTCAATTTTTGTTAAAATCAAACTAAGTTTAATTTTGGACCCTTTGGACCTTAATGTAGACCAATTTGAAAACGGAACCAAAAATTAAGAATCTAAATACACGGTTAGATTCGGCATATCAAAGAACCCCAAGAATTCAATTTTTGATGAAATCAAACAAAGTTTAATTTTGGACCCTTTTGACCTCAATGTGGACAAAGTTGATAACGGGGCCCAAAAATCAAAAATCTAAATACATGGTTAGATTCAGCATATCAAAGAACCCCATATATTCAATTTTTGTTGAAATCAAACAAAGTTTAATTTTGGACCCCGATTTGGACCAACTTGAAAACTGGGCCCATAATCAAAAATCTAAATACATGTTTAGATTCAGCATATCAAAGAACCCTAAGAATTCAATTTTTGTTAAAATCAAACTGAGTTTAATTTTGGACCCTTTGGACCTTAATGTAGACCAATTTGAAAACGGAACCAAAAATTAAGAATATAAATAAACGGTTAGATTCGGCATATCAAAGAACCCCAACAATTCAATTTTTGATGAAATCAAACAAAGTTTAATTTTGGACCCTTTTGACCTCAATGTGGACAAAGTTGATAACGGGGCCCAAAAATCAAAAATCTAAATACATGGTTAGATTCAGCATATCAAAGAACTCCATATATTCAATTTTTGTTGAAATCAAACAAAGTTTAATTTTGGACCCCGATTTGGACCAACTTGAAAACTGGGCCCATAATCAAAAATCTAAATACATGTTTAGATTCAGCATATCAAAGAACCCTAAGAATTCAATTTTTGTTAAAATCAAACTAAGTTTAATTTTGGACCCTTTGGACCTTAATGTAGACCAATTTGAAAACGGAACCAAAAATTAAGAATCTAAATACACGGTTAGATTCGGCATATCAAAGAACCCCAATAATTCAATTTTTGATGAAATCAAACAAAGTTTAATTTTGGACCCTTTTGACCTCAATGTGGACAAAGTTGATAACGGGGCCCAAAAATCAAAAATCTAAATACATGGTTAGATTCAGCATATCAAAGAACCCCATATATTCAATTTTTGTTGAAATCAAACAAAGTTTAATTTTGGACCCCGATTTGGACCAACTTGAAAACTGGGCCCATAATCAAAAATCTAAATACATGTTTAGATTCAGCATATCAAAGAACCCTAAGAATTCAATTTTTGTTAAAATCAAACTAAGTTTAATTTTGGACCCTTTGGACCTTAATGTAGACCAATTTGAAAACGGAACCAAAATTTAAGAATCTAAATACACAGTTAGATTCGGCATATCAAAGAACCCCAATAATTCAATTTTTGATGAAATCAAACAAAGTTTAATTTTGGACCCTTTGGACCTCAATGTGGACCAATTTAAAAACGGGGCCCAAAATCCAAAAACTAAATACACGGTTAGATTCAGCATATTAAAGAACCCCATGAAATCAAGAATAAAACCCCATTGAAATTGGTCAAGAAATAAGCAATTTATAGGAAGTATCTTCTTTTGCACAATACTGTGCAATTAAATATTTCTTGCTATTGCGCAATACTGTACAATTGACAATTTCTTGCTATTGCGCAATATTGTGCTATTGGATATTTCTTGCTATTGCGCAATACTGTGCAATTGAAGATTTCTTGCTATTGCGCAATACTGTGCAATTGAAGATTTCTTGCTATTGTGCAATACTGTGCAATTGAAAATTTCTTGCTATTGCACAATACTTATTATATAATAATTTACACATCCTGTTTGGTGTGTATCTCCTACCATATCATTATTATTTGATTTTAAATATAAATCAGAAATAACCAACTTAAAATGGAAAATTTTAAAAGAAACAAAAAAGGAAAAAAAGAAAAAAAAGGAAAAAAAAATAAATCCCCCCCCAAAATTTTTTGAACCCCCATTATGATTCATCACCCCCAAACTCAATCCCAGCCTTCCCTTTGTGGTATGGTACCTTGCAGTACAATTTCAGAGAGATCCATACACTTGAACACAAGTTATTGTCTGGAAACTAGAAAAAAATGTGTTTTTTGGCCCCTTTTTGGCCCCAAATTCCTAAACGTTTAGGGCAATTACCCCCAAACTCAAACCCAGCTTTCCCTTTGTGATATGGAACCTTGTAGTACAATTTCAGAAAGATCCATACACTTACACACAAGTTATTGTCATGAAACTAGAAAAATGCTTGTTTTTTGCCCCTTTTTTGGCCCCTAATTCCTAAAATTTGGAGGCAATTACCCCCAAAATCAATCCCAGCATTCCTTTAGTGATATGGAACCTTGTGGTACAATGTCAGAGAGATCCATACACTAACACACAAGTTATGTCTGGAAGTTACAAAAATGCTTATTTTTGGCCCCTTTTTGGCCCCTAATTCCTTTACTGTTATTACCATAACCCCCAAAATCAATCCCAACCTTCCTTTTGTGGTATTGAACCTTGTGGTAAAATTTCATAAAGATCCATTCACTTAAACTAAAGTTAGAGTGCGAAAACCAATGTGTCTTCGGACGACGACGCCGGACGACGACGACGCCAACGTCATACCAATATACGACCACAAAAATTTTTTGGCGGTCGTATAAAAACTACTTATTTTAAGTACACAATTTTTTCACATAGTGTAGTTTGATTATAATAATTCTTAAATTCATTGATATTTTCCACTTGTATCACATGTTTTGGAAAAAAATCCCAAAAGTGATTTCAACGAGACTGAAACATCAGAAAAATACATTTCCTAAGATAGAATTTTCTTATACATTGCCAGAATGTAGATTCTTCCATGCTTTTTTCAAAAATAATAAAAAGTATGGGTCACCTTGCTATTTTTCAAGCTACAAGTCATGCAAAATTGCACAAATTTGCAAATATTGTTCATGAAAAAACACTTTTTTGTGAATAAAAAAAAATCTATGCGATAGAATTTTGAAATAAAATATGAGAAGATAGTTTTAGAAATATGCTTTAAGATGAAAAAAAAAGAAGAAAAATGGTGTCACAGACCTTTTTTTCTTGCTACAAGTAAAAAATGATAATTTCTCTATCAATCCCTTATAAAAATTTTACTAATTGAGTTATCTCCCCTTAAATGACTGAGTTGACAATTTGATTCAAACAAACACAAATATTTGGTATTTTGATAAATCAGTCTGAATAATGCAATAAATCACTTTTTTTCTATACTCCATTAAACAGTTTTACCTATTAATTGCCAATCTGTCTCAAAATTTACAGATTTAAGAAAAGACCTAGACCTATTGTGAACTGCAATTTTACAATCCAAGATGGCAGTATACAGTTAATCTACCTTAAACACGTTCTCATCTAAAATTAGAAATTCTCATTAACGGTCATTTGCCATAATTCGTACTCAAATAGGTCGAATTATCGCTCATAAGACAAACTTGTGCAAAAACGAGAAAAATAAAAGAAAAACACGTTTTTCTTTTTATCAAGCACTTGAAAATCGTGAATCTGACATATTGAACACCTGGTGTATGCTGAACTGAATTGTAATAAATTAACTTGCATTTCTCAGGCCTGTATGCCAGCATACGAACCTGGTGTATGCTAAAGTCTACATTTGATTTATACATTGTATTTCTCAGGTCTGTATGCCTGCATACGAACCTGGTGTATGCAGAACGGCAAATATTGAATCAAATGTTGTATTTCGCAGGTCTGTATGCTAGCATACGAACCTGGGTGTTTCCAAAAAATCCTTTACTTCAGTAGTTGTGTTTTAACGCTGATTTCGATTTTTTTTTTAAACTAAAAGCCTACCACTGACCTCTATATTTTCTCCCGATAGGTAAACAGAAAAGCGTTAATTTGCAGGGCAAACCGGTAAAGCGTTTACTGTTGTAAATCTAAAAATGAAAACCGATTCTCAAGTTCCACGACTATGATCACTTTATAGGAATCATTCACGACTTTTCACGCGTGGCGGCGCTGCGGTTCCATAAGTGGTTACTTGAACGCTTCAATCACGTAAAACGCTTGCATCTGTATTTACAACGTAAACAATGGCATCCGATGATGACATCACCTGGTCTGTTCCAGAACTAACGTTACGTGGAGCTGTCACAAGAGACAGAAATATAGATCTTATAGAAAGGTAAACGATGTATTTAAAAAATATTGAGATTTCTTCTATTATAAGCGGAAACGCCGCTACAGTACATGGCCAAAAAGATTTCGTCACCTACATTTTTGGGCTATATATTTCATATAAAAACACGTTTATTGGAGGCATTTATGGTTGTATTTTTACAAATAATGTGTTGAAAAACGCTGAATTGTATATAAACAGTATTTGTTTGTTTTGTCATAGCTCTGTCATCAGTTGTTTTTATTTTCTCCTGATGTGAACACATATATACTATTTTTTACAGTTTAATTTGGTTGAAATATAAATATATAGCAAGATTGTTTATAATAGACAATAATATTTATTTTTATCTCAGAAGAAAATGAAAAAATAAACAAATAATTATTCTGCTGTTGGTACCAAGTTGCATAAAATCAAATCAGAAATGTCCCCTAAATAATCTATTTAAATGAAATTTTATATGAAATATTTAGTGTGAAATACCAAGTGACAAATACATGTACCCCAAGTTAGAAAAAAAAACCAAAAAAAAAACCACTGAACATATAAATAGTCATGAATGTATAATTAAACTTTCTAGTATACATTTAAATGATTTTGTATAATAATAATTAAAAATAGGGGTTCTATACAGATATTATCTGTTGGCCATGAAATGTGATACAGACCATGCAGACTGGGCAAGGGAAAATTAAATTTAACTTGTTATATACTGGGACTATAATACTAATAGTACAATAGTCCCAGTTATATATAAACAATTTATTACTTTTGATAATGGGACAATTACACAAGGAAAGTATTAAATCCTCCAATACCACTTTTAAACAAGACATGATTCTACATTTTTAAGCTTTAAATCTTTTAATATGTCTCAGCTTCATCAACTTAAAAAAAAAAAAGACTGTAAAAAAAATATAAAGGCCCTTCTCTGCAAACTTTTTACATATAACATGATGGGGCCATTTTTGGAAATTTTAAAAGATATGTACATCTATAATGAAGTTTTATTTGCAATTCAAGTTCAAACAAGGAATTATTTAAATATGGAATAATTTCAAATTCAGCAAAATTGATTAGAAAATAATTATGAAAACTAACCCAACTAAATATTTTTTAAACTTAGAAATGTGGTCCCTATAGTTCTACGTCCTTTTTTGAATCCTATCTGTTCTTGGCAGATAATCTTATAAGATTCTAAATAGTTTTCTAAACTATTATATACTCTAGAAAAAAATGTTCCTAATCTAGTAAAAAGGGTTATACCTCTGTTGTTTGAAGGGCTATTAAAACATCTTCCTTTGAATATGGGTTCAATAAATTTTCTCTCCTATAAGAACTTCTTTCTAGAGAGAAAATTTTATTAATTTTTAAGAAAAAAGTAGTGTTTCATAATTTTATAAACATATCATGCCCAACATTCAGCATACAAGAATTTTTCAAAATTTCATTAGTTATACCATTAAATCCACTTGATATCATGTTTTTCAAATATTTCATGGCAAGCAGAAACCTCCTTTGTAATCCTAACATTTTAATCTATGTAATAGTACTTTAAAAAATCTTTACCTACATGTTTTAAAAAAATTCAAACCATTCCTTAGCTTGTTTAATTAAACTTTGGCTGGAACATGCATTAAATATTTGTCACTGGACATTAAGATTCCAAAAATCAATCAATATATTTGAACTTGAATCATTGATTTCTTTCCTTTTTGTCTTGCCTTGACAGAGTCCAAAAGTAAGACATAGCATATATTAGGTATGTTGTTTTCAGCGTCATCAACAATGTATTAGTTAGTAAAGTAATATAAAATAGTGAAATATTGCAGACATTTTCTACTGGTAGATATTTGTAACCATGAAAGACAATATATTCATTATACAGTTTTCATGATTAATCGCACAGGCACTTGTCTCAAAAAAAAATTCCCTATATACCTTAATATAACACGTGTTATATTAAGGTCTATAGGAAATTTTTTTCTGAGACAAGTGCCTGTGATTAATCGCTAGCCCTTCAGGCCAGGCCAGATACATTTTTTGTAAGTATAGATAATTGTTAATGTGTCAATCCTAGTCAGGAGCCTTTAATTTAGTAGTTATAGTTGGTTAATTTCTGATATATATACATATATATTTGTTTTTTTATTGTCTTATTTTATAATTTAAAATCAAGCCATTAGTTTTCTTGTTTGAATTTTCTTTCATTTTTGAATAATGTGACCTTTGTAGCTGACTAGTACAATGTGATTTTTTTCTTGACTGTATTTTATTTAATATTTTGACTTTTTTTTTATCTTTTGTAGAATCAATTAGAAGAGCCAAAATTTATAAGCTTAGATTCAAAACATTCTGGAGGAGCAGATTGTGTGAAGGTATTTATCCTTTTATAGCCTCAATCTATATCACAAAAATGTATTTGTGTTAAAATAAACAATTACCATTAAGAGAGTTGATTTTTTGTAAGACCAAGTAAAGGTTACAGGTCCTAATCTCAGTTGGGAAAATGGTACTGTACAGTTTTATTTTAGTACTGGTGAACTCTACCGTTATAGACTCGTATGATAATAATACACCTGAAACTCCACAGATGTACGTGTATATCTAATAGCTATAAATATTCCTTCCAAATCCAGCCACACTGATTAGATGTCGCCTTCAATATAAATTTTTATGAAACCAGACTGGATTAAAATAAAATTTTCTTGTGTAATTTGATGAAATTTAAATTATCTCTACTAGTTTACTCACTAAACAACAGGACTAATTTGTTAACATTTTCTTTACAGAAGCCAGCAGAAGTCAAGAGAAATAAAAAGAATGGAACAAAAGAAAAATTGAAAACGAACAGTGAAATGACAAAATTAAATAAAATTTTTGCATTTCTTATTGTTGTTGTTATCTTGTGTATTGTTGACCAAGACAGCTAAGAAAACCATCGAAAAGCTGTTCAGACAGAAAATGACAGATACTACACATGATCAAACAAAAGATAAAAAAAAACACTTCTAAGAAAAAATTTGTTCAATGCTGGACCAAATGAAATGCATGAGGATATTTATAATCTGAAAAAATTAATACCTCTATGTAAGTGAAACAAATTATGCGGTATGGGCTTTGCTCATTGTTGAAGGCTGTACGGTGACCTATAGTTGTAATTATTTCTGTGTCATTTGGTCTCTTGTGGAGAGTTGTCTCATTGGCAATCATACCACATCTTCTTTTTCATATGTGTTCAGTGCAAAATACAAAAAAATGGACTATTCAATAAAATTGATATCTAAGACCGGGAATATTGGGGTTTGTCAATGAGACATCAACCCGACAAAAATAGCCAAAATATATGTAGATTAAGCCGGCATCAACAGCATGCAGACAAATGTAAAAGGAGATGTGGGGTAAAGATCAGTATGACGGCAGTTGTTTTCTCAAATGTGGATCCAGGATTTTGAATCTAGATAAAGTGATCCCCCCCACTCCACTCTGAAGTAACTGTATTAAAACAAAGTCAATGTAGGACTTTCTTTGAGATATTATTGTGTCTGGGAGACACAATTGATGCCCACGCAGATGCAAAGTGTTATTTTAAAATAACTATAACATTTAACCGCTTAATATACCCCAAAAATGACAAAGTTCAACTATCTCACAAAAGAGCAAATATTAATAAAAATCAAAACCCTGACCACATGCACATCTTCAATATATGTACAAACAGACATCAAAGTGAAAACTTCCTAGGATTCTAACTGTAGGTTGAGTTGTGCTGAATAACTATATACCCATAATGGGACGGACGGACAGACAGACAGAAGAACAGACAGGGGTAAAATAATATGCCCCTCAAGGCAACTTTCAGTTGCGGGGGCATAAAAAGGGGTCATCAGGCCTCAAACTAGACAAAGTTTTGAGAGTAATAAAAAAATCTGGATTAACCATAAATGTAGCTCCATAAGGGCCATAAAGGGGGGACCCAGGCACCCCACTCCTAAATCTGTCTCTGATATTAAACATTGTTTATATGTTTCTGAATATTTTATAAAAAGACTTGAAAGATTATGTTAGAAAACATTTTTATAATTATATTTCATATAACATTTAAATGATTTTTTGATAATATGAAGATTATTAAAACATTTTGTTAAAAAATATTTTTTAACTTTTTCAAAACATTTTATCCTGCAGAAATGAATATTTATATGTTTTTAAAATGTTTCAGGGATATTTGATTAACAAACACATTCAAATCATTTATAAGACATTTTACAAACATTGTCGTCAAAATTCAGTAACATTTTAATGATGTTTTAAAAGTATTATGAAAATGTTTTGAAAATATTTTTAAGGCCATACATTTTTGCATGATTTTGATATTTTTCTACAATATTTTTTCAACATTTTTCTATTTTTTTTGGTGCTAACTGGGAAAGCAGTGGCGAAACAGCACCACATTAGAACAAATAATAAAATCAATTGCATGTAAATCCATTTCATCTTTTATGCATATTTATTTACAATGTATTTTTATGAAATTAGAAAGAACACAGCAAACATACATAATTCTGGAACTAAGTTGAATTACATGTTTCAGATTTTTTATTCCCCTGCCACAGCGGAGGAGGGGCATTAAGTTTTACCCTTGTGTAACTTTTAGACAATACAAGGACTCTTTTAATGTGAATTCGGTTGGACGACACTTTTCTATCACAAACTACTTTCTTCTGATCTAGTTGGAATTTCCCTTTCAGAAAAGTTTGTGTGTTAATATAAGGAACTGTCTTGGCTAGTAAATAAATCCTGTTCCATAATTCCACTATTTGCCATTTGTTGTCACCTTTGTCAAATTTTTTTTTACATCTGGTTCTGACAGAAGTATTGATCCTCGCACTTGCAGCCACTTGGATTTTAACCATGAATTCATTTCAAACATAAAGATGGTTCCCATCCATCACTTCATGGTTGGGTAAAAAGTCTGTTATCCATGATGGCTTCTGAAATATTAAAACAGGAAACCACAAAGCATCATGTTATTTAATAAACTGCAGGTTCAGAAATTTTTCTTATCATTCATAAAGGACAAGCGTTTAATGCGGGGAAGTTTTCACAAAAATACTCTTGATTTCCAACTTTGAAGAATTAAAAAAAATTGTTCTGACAGCTTTTGCCATAAGTTTAATGTAAATCCTTAGAACATTCAGACTTTATTGCGACAAACAAATAAAAAAATTATGCTCATGTGTACCATGGTTTTTTTTTAGAATGCAATATAGGGATTGTCATATTTCCCAATACATGTATAGTTCTCTTCCTTTCATGCATTGTTTTGTCAGGGAAATATATTTCACTTGCTATAATTAAGTGCACAACATAATTATTATTTCTTATTTACAATGCAAACAAAGGTAAAAGGGTGAAAAAATGTGATGACTAGGAAAAAACTTACAAAGTGTGATCCCCCTATTTTAATAAATAATAACCTGTCAAATTATTGGGCTGTTTAATCGAGAAAAAATAAAACAAAGAGGTTTAATAATGTACTAAATATAAGAAAAATATAAATATATAATAACCTAATCCTGTTGTTATATAATCTCCTGGCATGACATGGTTATCAGCTGGTTATGGCAAACTTGGTCGAATTTTCCGCCGGGTTTCCCTAGATATTTTTGATGGGTGGATCAACTCTCTTGATGCCTTCTCTCCATTTCAAAAGAAGTTCATGGTCTTTTGGGAATCTGTGGTCCCCCTTCAGAATAATTGCAGCCGGGGACACAACAATTTTGAAGCTTAGTTTGGTGAAATTAGCGAGTGTCGATTGTGGTTACTAATGTAAACATGTGCAACGTAATGCGATTCAAGCGTCCAAGTGATTAAAACGTTTCCGACAACCACTTATGGAACACCAGCGACGTCTACAGGAAGAAATATTACGAATGATCCCTATTGACATGACAGTTATCTGTTTGTTTGCAAATTAAAATTACGGAAAAATGAGGCGATCATAATTTGTACAAGGTTCCAAGTTGTTGACAAAATTTTAAATGACGTCAGGGACCTTCTGACGTAAGGCGGAGGGAATTATAGACGGATAGCACTTGACTTACGCGAGTTACTTTTTACCAGTACACTTAATTAAAATAATAGCAATTGATTACAAAACAAAATGTTTTTTTTATACTTTGTATTGGTAAATGATAAAAAGTCAAAGAACAAATGGGCTATTTATCTGCGTTGAATGACCTAATAACACCTTATGTCACGCACTCCTATATGACGTCATTTACAAATGTAAACAATGTGAATGATCAATGAAGGAGTTCCCGTCACGGAGAAGAAAATGGACAATTCATTGAAAAATACGCTCTATTATCTAAATTTTAATATACCAGAAGCAAAACAGAATGTCAGATACATTTACGGTAAGTAAACCTAGCTGTTTTTGTACATTTTCCACGAATTCCATAGAACACCCTCTTTTTTTAGAACTTAATAGAAGTGACTGACTGATTTAATCCGGCTTGAAAACTATAATACAAGATTATTGATTACGCTAAGTTTGTTTTCTCAAGAGGTTTGTTCACTTCAATCAATTTCATGCTAGACATCATGTGGCGAAATTTACTGCTGTTTTACTATCAAGCTACCCCCCCCCCCCCCCCCCCAAAAAAAAATAGCCTTGCAAGACGTCATAAGTATTTGGACTACCACCCCCCCCCCCCGCCCCCCTTGAAAGTATTTAGAGAAAAAATGAATGGGAAATACGATTATGTGTACATCCATAGTGATGTCTCCTTGCATTAGTTACAATTTTAAGGATTTTAAGGGGTGCTTTGTGGGAAAAATTTAGTTGATTTATTGAGGGAAACAATACTGGAGCGGTCCATTTCTAAGGAATTCAGCGCCCTCCCCAGCCCATCCCCCTTATGAAACTTCTGGATCTGCCACTGAGTTAAAGTCTCCCGGATTTAAAAAAAAAATTGAAATTCAGCCCCTATCCAGATTTTCAAAATGCATGGCCAATGCCCTTCAGTTCTTATTCTAACAACTTTTAGGGAAACAAAAGTCCAAGGTAAAAAGGGGGGGGGGGGGGGGTGAGCGCTCACATGTTAAAACCGGCCACACTAGTCTATGTGCCTGTCCCAAGTCAGGAGCCTGTAGTTGAAGTTGTCATTGGTTCATGTATGTCGTATTTCTTTTTCGTAAATTGTTTTGCTATAAATTATTGTTTCTTATTTTTCATGTTGGGTCCTTTTATCATCTGACTATACAGTATTGGTTTTTCTCATTGTTGAAGTCCGTACAGTTGCCTATACTTGCTTACATCCACTTCATTTTGGACTTTGGTGTACAGTTGTCTCATTTGCAATCATCCCACATCTCCTTTTTTTTACAAGGAGGTTGTATGATGTGTCCTTGTTTTGGAAAACTGTACAGTACATTTGTCACATGATCACTGCAGCATTTTGTGATGTGTGTATGTAAGAAGCTGTTACTGTAACAGGGTAATATGAAAAGCTATCAACAAAATCGAAAGACAGACAGAAAATTTTAAAATATAGTGAGCAATAAAAAACAAAAAAAGAAGTAATTCAAACAAATTAAACATACATTTATTGCGAAAGGATCAGAACAGCACATTTCAAGAGTGTTCAATTGGAAAAATGAATGTTAATAAGGAAATGACATATTTCATTGATCTTCAATCAGATGCATGGCGACAAAAATACTTTCAACTTCAAGGGAACGACTTCAATTCAACCACTAAGAACCCTTAGTTCATATACATTCTAAAATCAGTAATTGTGATAATGTTAAAGTTGTGAAGTGTATAATATTCACACATATATATATATGTATATAATATGTAGTTTCCATTTCTCGTTTCAGCATTTTTCAAACAGCGGCTATACCTTTCATGTAACTATTTATGTGTTGCTTATGAATTGAATTGTAACACTTCTTAGTGACTGGATAGGTTAAACCAATGCCTTCCTAGAAAACTACGACATCAATGAACAACACCTGACCTTTTGCTGTTCCTGCTAATAAAGTAAAAATGGCTTCACTAGAAAAGGACGACACCTAGAACATGTAGAAAAAGCATCAATTCTTTGGCTTTCCTGATTGAAGGATTTATTTTTACAACTCCAGTGTATAATATGCCATTATAAACAATTTTTACCATAGTATAATGCTATAAATTCACTAATTTCCATATCTATTAGCGAATCCAGTTAGATATCGACTTATGATGTGCAGTGAAGACAGATCATTGCAAATTGTTTACATTACCGATAATTAAAATAAATGTATGCATGTTTGGCATACATCTTTGTAAAGCAAATTATATACAGACATCCCCCTAAAAGCATTAAAAAAAAAACAAGAACTTTGGCATACACCATGTTGACAGGCAGAGATGCAAACACAATGACTTAAACACTTTGTTGTATCACTGTCTATTTAGTATGCATATTGCCAACTATATCAGATTTTAAGACAGTTTCATTTTCTCTCCATCAATTTCTAACCAAGAGTTCCAAATGGTGAAGTTGAAATCATCCCTTCGTAAATTATACGGACGCCATCACGAGTTGGTTGACCGTTATGGAATAACCGTTTCACAGATGATATCGGATATGTTTCTTACGTCGTAACTACAATCCCCTTCCCTTTTCATGAATGTGACTAACCGAATTAGACTATTTACCGGGTTTGTAATAACATGAGCAACACGACGGGTGCCACATGTGGAGTAGGATCTGCTTACCCTTCCGGAGCACCTGAGATCACCCCCAGTTTTTGGTGGGGTTCGTGTTGCTCAGACTTTAGTTTTCTATGTTGTTTCTTGTGTACTATTAATATTTGTCTGTTTGTCTTTTTCTTGCCATGGTGTTGTCAGTTTATTTTCGATTTATGAGTTTGACTGTTCCTCTGGTATCTTTCGCCCCTCTTGACACAATGCTTGAAGTTACTAACTTAGAGCATGATGAAAAATAATAGTTTTACAATTTAAAATATGAATACATGTACAACATACAGCTGGTTAGAATGCAAACCATTCAGCTTGCTAAATATCCAATAAGTGCCACAAAATATGCAGAAATTTTAGACTGGAGGCAAACCCTACACAAATACACTAGCTCAATGAACACCAGCTTGGTTTGACAATACTAAAATGTATGTAAAACTATAATTTAATAGAACATAGGTGGGTATACAGGCAATCAAATCTTGTATATATCCAAGTAAAAATATAATAAGTGTTCACCGTACACCAGTGTTGTATGCAAGAATACCGTGATCTGAAAATGTCAAACAAATATGCAAACTTTTATGTTCCAATGTGTATAGGACTATAGGTCGGTATGCCGACAATCAAACCTATGAATTCCATTTTTTTACAAGAGTTTATTGAAAAGCGGGTTGATATACAGGAATAAACCCCTGAGTGTTGCAGTTAAGAATTGAGAGCTTTCTTTCAAATTCAAACGAAGTTGAAGGCTATACATAAGTAATTCCTTACATCGATGTAATTCGGCCTTTGACATGTTTGATGGAGATACATTTGTATGTCTCTTTCAAAATCATACACATCTCCTTATTTTCTATGGGGGGGTTGGTTATGCAAACATAAGTAAATAAGAAATGTTACTACACAGTAAATGCTTAGCATTCAGGCAGACAGACTTGCCAATACAAACATGAATCCAGAATAAAATTTTAGAATCCATGCAGGCATACAAGTACCGGGCAGAAAAATGCCAAAATAAATAATAATTTGAGTCTATATGCAGGCATACAGACCTGACAAATACTAATATACGCAGAAAGTGAGAGTTTAGCATACGCCAGGTCGGTATGCAGGCATACAGACTTGACAAATACTAGTATACGCATACAGTGAGAGTTTGGCACACACCAAGTCAGTATGCTGGCATACAGACCTGACAAATTCTAGTATACATTTGTACACATAGAGTAAGAGTTAAGCATACACCAGGTCAGTATGCAGGCATACAGACCTGACAAAAACTAGTATATGAATAGAGTGAGAGTTTAGCATACACCAGGTCGGTATGCTGGCATACCGACCTGACAAATTCTAGTATACACATAGATTCAGGGTTTGGCATACACCAGGTCAGTATGCAGGCATACAGACCTGACAAATACTAGTATATGAATAGAGTGAGAGTTTAGCATACACCAGGTCGGTATGCTAGCATACCGACCTGACAAATTCTAGTATACACATAGAGTGAGGGTTTAGCATACACCAGGTCGGTATGCAGGCATACAGACCTGACAAATACAAGTAAGAGAAAAAAGACTGAATTTAGCATACTTTTCATTGAAACATCTGAAATAAAGATGGGCAAATGTTATGTTATGTATATATTTCAAAAATGGCATAAAAGTATAACAAAAATGCAGAATGAGTAATTTTTTAAGGTTTATTTGCTTCAACTATTTCCTGGGGGTTGAAATAGTTCATTCTAGCATCCTATGAAAAAGGTTTATGATAAAATGATGAAGTTTTGGATTCGCATTTACAAAAAAAGACCACAAATCTTGCAAAAAAATGACAGACAAATATTAATAATGCTATACAGTGACTTTTTAACGCGAAATATATCAATCACCCCAAAAGATGTAGCTTTTTCACACAAAAATCAGTTAAGTGGCATATGAGAATTTCTAATTTTAGATGAGAACGTGTTCTTAACAATTGAAATCTGTTAATTTAAAGATAATAGACAGAAACACTAAATTTGATTGAAATAAACTGTTAACACAGAGATATGTCTCACCATTTTTTATTTTGATAATGCAAATTAAAATAGCAATACTTTAACATGCAAGTTATGCAAATATTCAAAGTCATTGAACAATGACTGAAGGTACATGGCTAAACAATTTCCATGGAAAAGAAATGTGCCAATGCTAATACAACTGCATATCAAATACCACTGACTCATCATAAGTTGTTCCCTTTAAACAAACCTAAACACAAACATTAACTTAAAAACTATGTAAAAGTTTCAAAGTCAATGAATGAGGGGGTGGGGCTATATATATAATCTCCATGGAACTGAGACTTGTAAATGCCAATACATTTGCATACCAAATATCATTGACGTAACATTAGTGTTTCATCTTCAACTGATCTGATCACAAACTAATACATGTAAACCATTAAAACAAAAGTTTCAAAGTCAATAGACCATGACTGAGAGTAAGGACCAAATATTCTCCAAGGAAATGAGATGTGCTAATGCTTATACAACTGCATACCAATTATTATTGGCCTACCACTAATGGTTCCCCTTAAACTTACCTAATCACAAACTAATACATGTAAACTAAGCAAAAGTTTCAAAGTCAATAGACCATGACTGAGGAGGCAGGGCCAAATAATCTCCATGGAAATGAGATGTACCATTGCTAATACAACTGCATACCAAGTATTGTTGACCTACCACTAGTGGTTCATCATAAACTAGACCTAATCACAAGCTACTACATTGTTGAAGCCGCTGCAGATGACTCGCTTTTTGACTCCGTCAAGGCGAGACAAAAAACTGTCAGTTAAGGGCAGTAATTTCAATTGGATCTGTTCTATCATTCTGGTATTAATTCATTGAAAGCAGATCTTTGCATTCCGAGCAAATAATCCCTGCTTGATTTTCTTTTTTATGCCCCCGCCGTAGTTGTGGGGGCATTAAGTTCTACCCTTGTCCGTCTGTACATACTTCCCAAAATTTGAATTTTGGTGGCGTCACTTCAACCGTTTTAGAGTTATGCCCCTTTATAAATAGAAAAATTGCAAAATTTTTAGTTTCTGTTCTCTAACTCAAGTTTGCCTCAACCAGATGTTATGAAACTTATACATAATGCTTATTACCACAAAACACAGATCAAGTTTGAATTTTGGTGGCGTCACTTTAACCGTTATAGAGTTATGCCCTTTATAAATGGAAAAATTGCTAAATTTTTAGTTTCCATTCTCTAACTTAAGTTTGCCTCAACCAAATGTTATGAAACTTATACACAATGCTTATTACCACAAAACACAGATCAAGTTTGAATTTTGGTGGCGTCACTTTAACTATTCTAGAGTTATGGCCCTTTATAAATGGAAAAATTGCAAAATTTGTATTTTCTTCTAAATTTCAAGTAATTCTTTAAATTGGAGTTATCTTCCTTTGTCCATGATTATAGTTGAATCAATAACAATCAATGCTTTATACAATGCAATGTTTAATTTTGACTTCCACTGATAAAACACAGATCAAGTTGAATTTGGGTAGTGTCACTTTAACCATTATTGAGTTATGCCCTTTATAAATCGAAAGATTGCAAAATTTTTAGTTTCCATTCTGTAACTTAAGTTTGCCCCAACCACACATTATGAAACCTATACACAATATTCATTACCACAAAACTAAAATCAAGTAAAAAAATTTTGTTTCCGTTCTCTAACTTTAGTTAAGTCTCAACCAAATGTTATAAAACTTATACACAACCGTTCAAGAGTTATGCGTGTTTACAAATAGAAAAATTGCTGAATTTTTAGTTTCTGTTCTCTACTTAAGTTAGCCTTAACCAAATGTTATGAGACTTACACACAATGCTTATTACCACAAAACTCAGATCAAGTTCAAATTTGGGTAGCGTCACTTTTACCGTTCTTCAGTTATGTCCCTTCATAACTATATGATATGCAAGCGGGGGCATCATCTGTGTCCACATGTGGACACTATCCACATTTTTTTTTTTTTAAAAAGATGAATAACTGTAGTCTACAAGTGTTCTACTTTTATTAGAAACAACCATCTTGGTTGATTGGCAACAACACAACGGACAAATCTGAAACTAAACACCTAAGGATAATTATGACCAAGTATGGTGTTAATTAACCTAGCACTGGTTGATTCAGAGGACAAAATGTTAAAACAATATTTAATGAAAGACCTATGGACGCCAACTGATTGAAATGGTTCAGGTGAACTACAAATGGAAGAATCAAAATGGCATATACCACAAAGTATAATAATTTATAGGCTAACAACCCCTATATAAATTGGTAAATCAAATTGGTTCCTAATATTGTTCTATTAACAATTCAGAAGGGAATAAATAGCTCCAGTTTTGCCTAAAAAGATAATACAAAAACTTGAGCATTAAGTTACAATAAAAAAATGACAAACTTAGAGCATTAAGTTGCAGTGTAGGAAATTAAACATTTCTTAAATGAATAGGTAACAAAAAGATAAAGAGGTTAGACAGTATGTCATTACTCTGCAAAAAATACTCATATACATGACAATTCTGATCTATGTAAATTGACACAAACTATCATCTAGAACTGTTCTTTGCAAATAAACTCTGTTGTTTTTCACTGTTGCACTACATTTTCATGAGAAATATGAAAATTTCTATAAAATAATAAACTTACAATAGTAGATGTCGGAGGTTTTCTTACTCTAAAGAATATCACAATAATAAATGTTGGCAGAAATTCCCACACAAATAAAACTATTCCAAAAGAAACATAGGCATATCCTTTATCTAATTCATGAATATCTGCCTGAAAATATAAATTAAAATTTACAATCAGTGCATCTAACATTGAATAGTTCAAGGGTGTTATTAACTTATTACACAACAAATATAAGATCGTTGTGTAAAATAATATCAGTTTGAGATAGTTAATTTTTTTTTTGACATTTTTTTAGCAATTCAAAAATTACTACCTATCACCTTTTGCATGACTATCACAATAAAATTTGTATAGAAATTGTTAGACAAATTTTTCATAATATCATTGAAGTGGAATTAAAGTCTTACATGATTGTAAGTATGCTTTTTTTTATCACCTTGCACATTCACCACTTGACTTGACCAACTTGTGACTATTTAGAGCTTAACATATTGTTTGGACCCCTGTTCTGTTGTTGGTCTATATGTCTTATAGTTGTCTTGTGTCCCCCTGTTCTGTTGTTGGACTATATGTCTTATAGTTGTCTTGTGTCCCCCTGTTCTGTTGTGGGACTATACGTCTTATAGTTGTCTTGTGTCCCCCCTGTTATGTTGGTGGACTATATGTCTTATAGTTGGCTTGTGCCCCCCTGTTCTGTTGTTGGACTATATGTCTTATAGTTGGCTTGTGTCCCCCTGTTATGTTATTGGACTATATGTCTTATAGTTGTCTTGTGTCCCCTGTTCTGTTGGACTATATGTCTTATAGTTGTCTTGTGTCCCCCTGTTATGTTGTTGGACTATATGTCTTATAGTTGTCTTGTGTCCCCGTGTTCTGTTGTTGGACTATATGTTTTATAGTTGTCTTGTGTCCCACTGTTCTGTTGTTGGACTATATGTCTTATAGTTGTCTTGTGTCCCCTGTTCTGTTGTTGTACTATATGTCTTATAGTTGGCTTGTGTCCCCCTGTTCTGTTGTTGGACTATATGTCTTATAGTTGTCTTGTGTCCCCCTGTTCTATTGTTGGACTATATGTCTTATAGTTGTCTTGTGTCCCCCTGTTATGTTGTTGGACTATATACCTTATTATTGTCTTGTGTCCCCTGTTATGTTGTTGGACTATATGCCTTATAGTTGTCTTGTGTCCCCCTGTTCTGTTGTTGGACTATATGTCTTATAGTTGTCTTGTGTCCCCCTGTTCTGTTGGACTATATGCCTTTTAGTTGGCTTGTGTCCCCCTGTTCTGTTGTTGGACTATATGTCTTATAGTTGTCTTGTGTCCCCCTGTTATGTTGTTGGACTATATACCTTATTATTGTCTTGTGTCCCCTGTTATGTTGTTGGACTATATGCCTTATAGTTGTCTTGTGTCCCCCTGTTCTGTTGTTGGACTATATGTCTTATAGTTGTCTTGTGTCCCCCTGTTCTGTTGGACTATATGCCTTTTAGTTGGCTTGTGTCCCCCTGTTCTGTTGTTGGACTATATGTCTTATAGTTGTCTTGTGTCCCCCTGTTATGTTGTTGGACTATATGCCTTATAGTTGTCTTGTGTCCCCCTGTTCTGTTGTTGGACTATATGTCTTATAGTTGTCTTGTGTCCTCCTGTTATGTTGTTGGACTATATGCCTTATAGTTGTCTTGTGTTCCCCTGTTATGTTGTTGGACTATATGTCTTATAGTTGTCTTGTGTAATTGGGTTGCTGTCTCATTGATGCATATCAAAATCTCCTTTATACCAGACAATGTTTACCAAAAAGTCTGCTTAAGCAAATAATAAAAGATAGTACAATATGAAATATAAGACTAGCAGTAAAAATGGTAAAATGTATTGAATAGATAAAAAAATACATCTTTTTCTTCTAAAATTAACATAAAAGTGGCTTCAAGAATCATAAGAGATTTACCTGATCTGAAACATTAACCCAACCATATCCAAAAGAGGGTAGTTTATCTTGAACGTGTGGACAAATCACAAGAAAGTTGTACACAACACGTGATGTGAACAATAAAATTGTAATTATGCTAGTAGCAAGAGCTTGGCATAAAGTTGTTCCCTACAAAACAAGTAAACCATTATAAATAAATCACTATAATACTGTTCTTTAGACATATAATACTGATTTTCAAGAGTTAAGAGGACGAGTAGTGACATTCATTTTACCTGATCTGTTACAAATAAATTAATTTTTGTTGCCCCATATCTCCCACTTATTTAGTCAAAGTTAATCCAAAAGTATACACTTAAAATTTTCAACTTATTCAACCTATAAAAAACATGTACATGTACACTTATTTAAAATCAACTATAACACTTTTAAGGACAAATTTTAGAATAATTATAACCTGCCATGAGATCTTACACAAAGTATTTGGCAAGGTTGTTTTTTGTACAAACAGCTTGGCATTCTCTTAACAAATTTGTTTGGGTTTAAATCTTATATCAGATTTGTTGTGACTATGTTTCTATAAGTCCAGCATTACTAAAGAGGATGCAAAAGTAATTATTAGGTTCTTTCACATGCAGAATTTTTTTCAGTCTCTTACCAGTGTATGAGGGGGTGGACAGGGGAGTCCTTGATTCCCACTCCTGTACACCCCCCCCCCCCCCCCCCACAACTCACACTTCCCCCCTCTAGTCCCAATTCCCTCCCCCCTACTTAAACTAACCTCCTCCCTTACAGACGAAAATCTTTGAAATATTTTTTCACAGAATATCCCTATTTTTACTCCCCCTCTTCTCCTGGTTCCCACCCCCATCCCTCACTCTAATGTTTCCTTACCCCTGTCCACCCCTTCATATATTGTAATTCACCTTCTTTATCATACTGAACATAACTGTGTACCAATATTTGTACATTACATACAGCCAAACAGGTGCTCTCCCTGGTAAATACTGACATGCTGGTAATCTGTTTTTAACACAGATGTCCCATCTTCAAAATCAACAAGTGATGTGATTCCAAGTAGGTGTAAATGCAAAACTTAGCAAAAGTGTCCTAGGTGTGAAATGAAGGTCACAATAACCAAACTGTGCCAGTTCTGTACTGATAATGAAGAAAACAATTTTGGGAAGTAACAAATTTATTTTATTGATTTATCATTCTGGTGTTATGCTGTACTGTAACACCAAAGATTGGTTGCGGTTTCAAATAATGTCCGATATATGGATAAGATGACAGCAAAATAAGAATGAAATGTTGGGTGTAGGTGATAAAAAAATGTTGTGTTATCAAACAAAAAAGGACTTAAAAATAGAGAAATATAAATGATGCTCTAAAAATAAAGGAAAACTCATCCAAACAAGATAGACACATGGAAACATGATTACTATTCCAACTTTCTTGGTTAGGCATTATGAAAAACATTTGCTGCATCATGAGTGATTGATATATGCAGATCTCCTTATTTAAACCACTGAAGTAACTTAATTATAGAACAACAAATGTAAAATTATTGAAAAAAGAGGTACCATTTACAGGTTGAGAGATTATGAAATTTCATAGGACAAGGTAAGGGGGACAGGTCTGAATTTACATCATAAGAGCTGGGTCAGATAGAAATAAATCTTATGCAGATGAATATCAATACATCAGTTAACCTATTTCGGGTTGAAAAAATCTCTATAGAAAGTCAGTAACTGTTTGAAAACTGAGTTGTTATAAGAACCATACAAACCAGACCAAAATTCATCTTTTAATTTGTATTTGAATGTTCCAAAATCAATCAAAATCTTAAACATGTACATGTATAAATGCACTTGCATAAGGTGAAATCTATCCGACGCAGCTCATATCATATATAATTTTTGCATGGCATGGTACTTTATAATGTAACATTACAAGACTTATCACTGGGTTTGTACTTACATGAGCAACACGATCTGTGCCACAGGTGGAGCAGGATCTGCTTACTCTTCAGGGGCACCTGAGATCACCCCCAGTTTTTGGAGGGGTTCGTGTTTCTCAGTCTTTGGTTTTCTATGTTGTTTTTTTGTCTTTTTCTTTTTAGCCATGGCATTGTCAGTTTATTTTTGACTCTCTTTTACAACAATTCCAATTATAAAATAAATAATTACCTTGGCTTCTAAAACAACACTCGAAGCAGACATTTTGCTCATCTTGTAAATACAGAAAGACAACAATATAGCAGCTATCAGGAATAGGGTGTCATTTATAGATACTCGTATTATCAGGTACTCAATGGACACGGAATGTTTTGTTTGTGCCTGGTTTTTCACAAGTATTGCAGAGGAAATGTTTGTCGCTAGAAATATAACAACAGACAGACATACTCCAATCCTTAATGGTTTTCTGTAAAAATAATGAAAACTTAGTCTATAAAGCATAAAGAATATTCTTAATTTGTTACAAAATTAAATGATAGAAAGTTGAAACTTTCAAATTTTAAATTATACTATTTTTAAAACTATAAACACAGTTATTCTCAGAAAATGTTACTATTTACAGGACATCTAACATTTGTAAATAACTGAAACAGTTAAACCTCTTATGACTGTTTTAATTAGCACACAACCCTTATAATTAAACTATCAAGTCTCATATCTGTCAAGAGTGGTTCAGTGTAGTTTTGATTCAAGATTCACATTTAAAGAAAAAAGAAAAGCAAAAGAGAATGACATGCTTTCATGTGACGTACAGTTTATAATTCTATTGTAGTGTCCTGGTGTACTGTCGTAAATTCTTGGGAGATGTCCATTGTTGTTCTGTGGTTTACATGTTGTTATGTACTATCATATTATTTATTTATGTATTTCTCTGTCCTGAGTGTTCTTGAGTTTATTTGTACTGTATTTCTGTCACGTAATGTTGTCATTTAGCGGTATTTATAACATTACCATATAAGAGGGAGGTTTGGCTAGCCATAAAACCAGGTTCAACCCACCATTTTTTCTTAAAATGTCCTGTACCAAGTCAGAAATATGGCAGTTGTTATCAAATAGTCCGTTTCTATGTATGTTGGCGTTTGTTTTTGTAGCAGTTCAGTGTTTGTTGTTCTGTTGTTTTCCTCGGTTTTGGTTTGTGACCCGGATTTGTTTTCACTTAATCGATTTATGACTATTGAACAGCGGTATACTACTGTTGCCTTTTTTTATGCTTATATTGTCATTACTTTAATAAAGAACTTTGAATTATGTTTCTTACTTGTATCTGCTTGGTTCATATCTTGCTCTTGCTTTAAAAACAACCTGAAAATATATTCTTGTATCGATGATTTATCAGTAAGTTGTAAACAAATTTCTGCAGAAAATGTACACAAAGTATAATAATATGACATGATAAAGGTTATACATACAAAAAGAAATACTCCATATGAATGATTTTGGTAAGTTTGATCAAAACTATCCTTGCTGTTTCAATTAAGCAGATTTGTTTACAACAGATAAAGGAATGATGGAAGCCAACCAATGGCACAAAAGCTCACAATATTGGCCAAGGCTGTTTAAACCCTTACAGCACACATATACACAGGGCTGCCAAGTCTCACGCAATTAGCATGAGACTCACGCATTTTCATGCTAATTTGGGGGCATTTTCTTTTGATCTATTGTTTTTTCTCTTGATCTTTACAATTTTGGCCAATTCTCACGCATTTGCTTCATAAAAACTTGGCAGTACTGTATACAATGTATAAATTACATTCAAATCTAAACTTTTAATATTTAGAGCTAAAATAATAACTGTTGATGCTCTTTATAAGGCAATTATCACAAATCTAGGGAATAACTTATCATAAAACACTAATATCTTTTCATATATTTTTTAAACATGAAAATATTACATGGCTAAATGCTAATACAATTTATAAATAATATTTAATAGGAATGAACTGATAAAATGTATGATGCCTCAACTCAGTACTACATAATCATTTTAATTCACTATATTTAATTGATTTATTACTCATAATATGTCTTTTTCGGATTTCTAGATTTATATCTTTTAAAGGTGACAAATAGTAACTTTTAAATACATTATCATTAGATTAAACATTGTTTTGTAATTTGCTAATGTTTTGACTGTAGTTTATCTTGTTAATAATGGAGACGGCTTGCATAGGCTTAGTAAGTTGTCCAATCTGTTGTTTTCATTCATATCATACAATGTTTACACTTAAACAGGGAAGATAACTCTTATCTTACTTAACAGCTACTTTAATAACCTAGTCTGGTAAACCTCTAGTATCTACATGTATAATAATCTGTTATCAGTTGGAAAATAATATTTGCCACGATAACTTGCAAGTCACACCTGAATGACGTGTCTATAAATTATTTGGAACAAGTAAATTTAAAAGTACTATACATCATGATGAGTCAATAGAAAATAGTGGCAAGGGCCATTTATCTAGCAATATATTCTTTGTAACACCAGATTATTTTTGGATTAATTACAACCATTTAGATAATAAAACTAATGAAAATGATCTTAAAACCTGTAGCCTGTATAAGAAAAAAACGTCCTGTATATTTTTCAACTTACAATGTTGAAATTGTAGCTCCACTTTAAAACTTAAAAATAATATCTACATTCAAAGACAAACATACAAACATGTACATGATGTATGTATGTGAGACACTGAGAATAAACAGCTGCACCAAGAGTGCCCTTATTGTGCATAATAAAATTGCTTCAAGAATAAAATGGGATATTTCGAAAGCATTCTTTCACCAATTTCAACAATTACGTAAAGTTTCCACAAAATCAATCAAAGCAAACTCAAATTATAGTACAATATGCAAAATATTTACTAATATTTGACAATTAAAGTCCCTTAACTCTGGACCGACAAACTGGAAAACTAAAAAAAAATTACAAGGAGATTTCTTTCATCAATATCCAAAATAAAGTCAAGTTTGGATGAAATCAATCCAGAATTACTGGCCTTTAATGTAACAGTTTACGTTTCATAACTGGAACAACAAACAGAAAAATTAAAAAAATCATGAGGGAACTTCCGTTTATCAATCTCCACAATATTATAAAGTTTGGAGGAAATCAATACAGAAAACTGGAGTTAAGTGTGCAATTTGTAAAAAATTGCCTTAAATTTAAGGGTCAAAGTTTCGTAACTCTGGAAAGACAAATATAAAAATCAAAAACAAGAATGTGTCCATAGTATACAGATGCCCCACTCGCACTATCATTTTCTATGTTCAGTGGACTATGAAATTGGGGTCAAAACTCTAATTTGTCATTAAAATTAGAAAGATCATATCATAAAGAACATGTGTACTAAGTTTCAAGTTGATTGGACTTCAACTTCATCAAAAACTACCTTGACCAAAAACTTTAACCTGAAGCGGGACAAACGGACAGACGAACGGACACACAGACCAAAAAACATAATGCCCCTCTACTTTCCTAGGTGGGGCATAAAAATCAAAAGGATAGCTTTCTTTCCTTTATTCCAATGTTGTGTTAAATTTATATGATAGTTGGTTTATGAAAATTTGAGTTATCGTACGAAATGTTGGAGGACAGACAGATATTGGTTTACCATAATAAGTCTTGTCTTTGATAGGGGTAAAAAAAAAAGATTGAAGAACGGTTTATTTTAAATAAATGACAAGAGCATACCACAAACAAGAATGTAGAAACACAATATACCGTAAGCTACTGAAGGTTAGGTATGGGCCATTATGGTAGAATGGTCAAGTAACTAAAATTTCCAAATTTTATAATATACCTTTGCTTCAATCATGTCATAATTAAAACTTATAAAAAGCATTGAAAAGGGCTTTGCTTGTTTTATAGTTTGAATTGTTTCACATTTTTTCATGTTGGTGCCTTTTTTAGTAATCATACCAAATCTCCTTATTTTTATTTTGCTTGACACAGCAAGTCAACAGGAGCATCTTAAAAATCTATTTACCTTAAAAATTCACAACTCATATGACACAAAGAAAACATGATAATGAATCTGAAAGAAATCACATGAGTATCAAACTAAAACAGAAAGCTACTAGTTGGCCTTGAAGGCAAACCTGGGAGCATGCTAGACATGCATAAAACAACATTACTTTAAGTGATCATATGTCAAGAAATTTTAATCAATTACAATATAAAGGGGATGCATTTGATTACATTACTGATACATATAAATATTTTTACATCTATAATATGGAACTAAATGTCAATTATAAAATTAAAAAATTAATAAAATATGAAACTTAGGTCATGATGATCCTTTATATAGTAGAACTGTTTTGTACCATTACGTGAGTGATTTTATTTGCAGAATTTGGTGATTTAGTCATCAGGGAAGACATGAATTCTAATATTCAACCAATTATGAATTAAAGGTGAAGCAGGATATATGTCAATGAGACAGCACTCTAATGACACAAATGACCAAAATACATCTAGAGGTCAACAGACAGTCTTAAACAAGAGACAGATGTCCATACAATATATGTCATTGTCCAATTCAATCCAAGTCTTAATACTGTGAAAGTACTTTTATTATAGAGCAAAAGTTACATGTTCGTGGTTAGGCTAATTTTCAACCCACAAAATGCTCACAATGTACACATTTAAACCAGTTAACAGAAAAAAATGTCACCTAACTAGAACACATCATTCTAGTCTGATAAAACATGTATCTTGCCAACCCATTTTGATCTTACACTTAATTGCAGGGAAATATCAATTAATTTTGTAGCATTTAGATCAATCAATACTAAAAGTGAGTATGCTAAAATGAGAAGTCTGAGATGATGTATTAAAAGAAACATGAATGATCTGCCTTAGAACTGTATACATGTGAACCTCCCGACGGGAGTACAATAATCCAGTTTTCAGGGTTCTCCTCCTGTCCTCCCGTTTAAGAGAAAAAAATCCAGTGTATGAAATATATCATGAATGAAAACTTTCAGCCGCCATATCCGGTGTAACTGAAATTACCTGAAGTTAAATTTTACCTGTAAATCAATTAACATGCATAATTATATGGCTTCACTTGCCAGCTTGGGTGTCAAACATACTGGTAATCAACGATATCAGGCTAACTGCCGTTGTGTAATAAAAACTTTGTGTATTTAAAAATAATTCAAATAAATTTTGGGTTACTTCCCTTGTTTCATCCTGTTTAAGTTACTTTCCTTTAAATAATGTTAATTGTGAAAAGAATATAAATGAAATATAAATTGAACAAATAATCATAAAAGGATGGTAATTAAATGATTTGAAATGTCTTAGGACAAATAAAAAAATAATAATTTGAAAACAATTTGAGGGTTCTATACTTCTTTTTAAGGCTTAAATTAAAATTCATGTAATAAGTATGACCTTGATAATTAGTACAGGAGTGGATATGTTTCTAGCACGATTGAAAGTTCTATTTGCAGTGATTGAGTTATTGAATAAAGGTAAAAAAAAAAAAATTAAATTAAATAATGTTCCAAAAATTTAGAAGATTGATTGATTTATTAAAGATAAAGAAAATTTACAAGTACAAGGGTACTATAAACATATTAAATTCGGATGGAAAGTTGAAGAAAAAAACACTTTAAAAGACAATTTCTACATCACACAGCTGCATTTACGACAAAATTTATGTCAATAAAAAACCTCCTGATCTGAGTCCTAATCTCCTGACCAAAATTTCCCAATCTCCTGATCTGAGTTTCACAGTCCATCACATGTATGGAACTGGAACTTGGTATTTATTACAAAATTTTTAATGACATTATGAAAAAAGGCCCTAAAATGTATTTGTTCAAAGTGTTTAATCCTGAGCAACTCCAAAAACAAAACATGAACTTCCAATTGCTGCTTTTTCCCAGAAAAAATTTACATCATACTGCAAATATTTTTTAAGTCACAATGACCTATGTTGCCTTTTCCCCCAAATGACCCAAGGTCAAAAGGGGCAGTTTATTCAGAAAATAAAAATTGGAATCTTGTGTTTTAATTCAATCAAAAATGTAACATAATGCCTTTAATTGGACCGTTGATGGCCTATGTTGTAGTTAAGACTTTTGAGCTTAAACATTAAGAGTCACTACATTCTGCTAACCTAATTCAGGAAAATCAATTAAAAATTATCAATGTTGATTTAAAATTTTAGTATATGGACTCTTTATTTTTGCATATATCAATTTATCTCACCTGTGCAAAAAACAAAACTAGAAGACATAATGTCACATACTGCAGACAAACAGGAAAGCTGTACAGCAACCATGATAGTCCAATAGGTAATTTATTTGCCAACAAACAGTCTTTAAAATAAAAAGAAAATAAAGTGGTCCTCAATCCAGTCCAAAGCAAACAAAGAAACAAAAACACTGTCTGATGACTCAGACGTTTATGTCTGTAGTACCATATCATCCATAACTGAAGGTATATTATAAGGAATAATATACCATATAGAGAAATGTAACATATTGTGAGCCAGAGCTCTGCCCCTGGAGGAAGTGCAGGGGCAAGAGTTGGAAAGCTATGAAATCCAAAATTTGTTGTGGTTGTTTTTCTGTAAGATTCTTGAAAAAGAAGAAGATCACGTTCTAAACGTCTGTGCAAAGCATCTGGGAACACAAAGATTTCATCACCATGTGTTGTCATTACTTGTTTTCATGAAAATAACAACAAATGTTCATTTTGAAAACAAAGTCCATTTATAGTTTCCTCCTGACCTTCACCTTCAATAAAATCCAGCGTATTCCGAAGTCTACTTTCATTTCACGAAAGTAACATTTCAAACCTTTTCAACCATTTTAGATTCGAAAAAAAATAAGCGATTTTGATGACGAATATTTTTCTCTTATCTAAGCTTATTGTACCCTTTTATATATTTCTTTTTTAAAACGAAACAAATGTTCCGAATAACTTGAGTGCGGAATAACAAGATGGATGCGCCCATTGAAATCGAAACTATCTTGCGTTCGTCTGCTAAAATTATACAAAAATGAATTTGATAACACATTATTAACATAGAAAAATGATTGCAAATGTATTTTCCAAGTTGAAACCCATCAGAAGGCAGTTTGTATGGGTCAGAGCAAAATCTAGAAAACAAGAATCAAGCAAAAAATACAGTTACACTTTAAACTTACCAAAAACAGATTTCCCTCTCAGTCTCCGTGATGGGGAAGCAAATAGACGTGAAGTAAAAATACAGAAGGTAATACCGCACAAGAAACAAGCATAATAGGGATCAGATTATTAAATTCCTCACTAGAAAAACTACCTAGTTTCTTAAAGCATATTTTACTATTTGTAAGAATCCATGATAATTCGTCCCATTAGTCATTACCAACTTTGCCCAAATTTCTACTAACTCGCCCTACGTATGTTAAAAGAGTATAAATTGCTGTGTTTTTAAGTAGCACTCCACAGTTAGAAAATAACATTAGAATTGAACCACAAAATGTTTAATCATCTTCTATTCCTGGCTTTCTAATACATTAAGCCAAATGTTCATAGTTGCTAAGTGACATGATATTCGCGTGTAATACACGCTTTTTCAACGGTTTACACACGAGGATTTTGTCACATGGCGTGTACATGCTTTTCACCACTTTACACGCAATTACACGCTTTTTTCGTTGTTTTCATTTTTTGGTCATTAGTGATATCGCTGTTCTCGGGTTTTTTGATTACTTGACGATAGATACTGAAAATTTTGAAACAATTGTTTTGGATGCCATTGATTATTTTTCTTATGGATGAACAGCAAAAGCCCTTAAGGTAAGTAGTTTGTGATTAGTTTTTAAGATTTTGAAAGATTTTCTTTCTTTCAAATTCACTTAGGGGAAGTGTCCACAGAAAGAGATGGCTTTCAGGACCTGTACTGTCGTCTAAAGAGTCGATTGCTAAGCGAAAACGATGTGTACGTACCAAGATAATTTCAAGATTTATAAATTATATTTTGGAGTTCAAGTTTAAATGATCTACGGACGAGTAACGCATAATGTGCACCCTATGTTGCAATCATAACAATACATGTGAGAGGAGAACTACAATGTAGCTATTTGATTAAACATTTAACATGTTGAATGGTAATCGAATTATAAAATATTTTTCTTTTTCAGTTTCAAATCTGGCCCAACAGATTTCTACAGGCCATAGGGGATGGAAATATCACAGAACTGTTGGATCAGTTCTCCTAGTACCAGCTGTCTTCTGATGAACTTCCCAGTTTTGACCAGGCAATAGCAAAATATATAGTTTGTTGGGAGCAATGGCAGAGATAATAGATGACATTTTAGAGGGCAAAAAAACGTTTTGAGACACTTTCAAAGCTTGATAAAGCTTTTATATATATATATATAGTTCAACCAAATATCAATTCTGACTGTGAGAGAGCATTTTCAATTATAAAGAAATGTACACTGAATTCTGATCAGAACTTGACAATGATATATTGTTTGCCTTGTTATCAAGTAAATGTAACCAAACTGGCAATTTTTTAGAATATGTGCATAGTGGTGTTGCTTTAAAAGCAGCAAAACAGACCACTGTTGAAAACAATAAAAGTTTACAGTAGAACATTGTTTTTATATTAACAAATTTGTATAATGTGAAAAAGTCTGCATCTACATCGCGCGTTTTCACACGCTTTTTGACATGTCATGTCATGTCATGACATGATTTCTCATTGTCAGAGGTTGGCAAGTATGCAAATGTTTGTGTCATACATGTGCATATGTATGTAATCAGTATCTTCCATAGATTTGATTTTCAAAAGTTAAAATGGTGAAAAATAATTCCTTTTTTGTGTATCCATGGCAACATTCTGCATTTATTTAACATTAAATATTACAAAAAGGGGCATAAAAATGTCACATATTCCCCCAAAATTTGGTTTAAACTAGAATTCAAAGCCTTTGAATGATACCTTTTCTGAAACTGTTGACATTAATCTACTAAATGATCAAATAAAAATTGGGTGTCTTTCGCCTCTTTTTTTCGTAAAATTTAATCACAAAGTTCTTGCGTCAAAAAAGTTGGAAAAAAAACATCACAATAATTGCCAGACTGTTGTCTGGTATGGATATGAAAATATGGACTGTCATACAGAAAACAGCCCATAATACATATATTACACAATCTTGATGTTCCTATAAACCCACTATGAAGGCTATATTAATCTTCAGCTATCCAAAAATGAATTTTATTGCACACTAACTCTCATATCTGAAAAATCCACAGGGGCCAAAATGCGAAACTACACACCTAACTGTGGAGTTCTACCTTAGGCCTACCAATTCACCCCAAAAAAGTTAAATCCTGTTGAATTTAGGCCTACCAACTCGCCCTACTTATGAAGCGTAGGGTAATCCTGATGAATAAAGGCCTGCCAACTCGCTCGACTACGGTAATTAAAAGAAGTTAATTCTCGCTGAATTCACACCTGCCTACTGGCCTCTGACAATTAGGAGAATACATCAGTGATTGTTCTTTAGCCTTTAGTTATACTTAACTACTTGACAAAATTAACCAATCCTTTAATTGCTATAAAAAAAAATTGCTGTTAGATTTGAATCCTTAAATTGTTATGATAATAAATCGTACTATGATATAATTAACTTGTTTCTTTACCATAATTATGCAAATACATTGTAACTTCTAAGCCCTTCATCATTTGCTTTATGACTGCGTGCTTGACAATAAATACCTTTTTGCCAATTGATTTTTATATCTATTTTTCATTTATTGATTTTCTTATTGTTATTGGGCACTTCCTCCCCATATAAAATTTGTTTTCCATTGGAACTGTATTTTCTTAGGTTTTTCTAGATATTCAACTGAGTAGTTAAACACACCATGGTCAGACACCCCTTTAGTCTGACACCTAATTTGTCTGTTAAAGGTAAATCACTGTTGTAAATTATATGAGGCAGGACTGGTGTTACCTGTGAAAGAGGATTAAGTCCATATTATTTTCTTGATCAGACATATACAAATTTGAGTGAAATCGTATGCTTTAAAGCATGGTAGCCTTGGTCAAAATTAAAGTCTGGATCTGCGTTTGCTTTCCAATAATGGTAGGGTATTTAAAGCTTGGTATTCCTTACATAATTTTCTCATTTTTGGCAGGAAAATACTTCGCATATGAGCTTTACTTTCACCTTTTAAATGTAAGACCATGAGTCAAGATAATGGTGACTAGTACATTCAGTTCACTTGGCTATTTTAACTGACTTTTACAATGATCTACTAAATAATAATTGCTTAAATTGAGAAAAAGAATGTAAAAAACAAAGAAACTAGTAACGATGATAAAATTTGTCAAATTCATATTCTGTTCTGCATCTTAGTCAAATCTGTAGTTGTAAGAAATATGTACATGTATGTGCTACATAATGAATAACATAAACAAAATTGCTAATTAAAACGTGACTGAAAACATTAAGACCTTGGTCTGCTGGTTTGTCAAATGGTCATTTTGCAGCTGACAGATTTATTATTAGGACAATAATTGGGACAACGCCTTATATGACCAATTCATTTCAAATTTATTTCAATACAATTCTGTTCCTTGTTTTTTCAGGTCATTTTGTATAAAATAGAAAAAAATGTACAAGGTTTATTGCACTGACTGCTGGTTTCACAGAAGAAGCATTTATGAATTTCAATTTGCCATTTCAGAATCTAAAGGACAATGGGTAATTTCATTGTTCGTACCCCAATATGTAAACATCGCCATGTCAGTTGTTGAATTTCCATTGTTTAAGACATTTTTAGCCAGTCACAAAGTTTTGGTGTACACCTTTGATAATATTAACACCAGAATGCATCAGATTCTAAAACAGCACATTGAATAGACTTTTAAATGATATTTTTAGTCTTCCTGTTTTGAGAATCTATATGAATGGCAACAAAATCAGCCTAGAGACAAAGAATTTATTTTGCATGATGGTCCTCCCTATGCTAATGGAAAACCTCATGTTGGACATGCTATAAATAAGGTAAGCTGGACTGTTTTTGTAAAAGTTGTAATAGGTTTTTTAACAAGTGAGAAGAAGGCTTGTTTATTATCATGTTGAAATTTGATAACTCTAGTCAATATCAAGAGATATCCAATTCTCACGAGTTGTTAAACCTATTTCTCTAACGGTCAACGCTCTCATTGTGTTAAATTAAAAATTCTGTGAATTGTTGATGTAGTCTTTTGCGTGTACCAGTATGAATGTATGTATCTTGTTCCCACATCTAACTTTAACATCAGACATTTTAAAACTTTTGGTACGTTTCAGAATGTAATAAAATTTGACAAAAAGAATATTTTCTGTTGAAAATTGTGAGTGTTTTTGTATATTATTGAAGAAATCATATATATAAAATTAAGAAGTTGTGATATGATTGCCAATGAGACAACTATCCATCAAAGTTCAAATGAAGTGGATATAAGAAATTGTAGATAACCGTATGACCTTCAACATGTGTCTGTTGTCATGAATGAAATGTTAATCGTCTTAACATTTGTAAGTCATCAATGACTATCGAATAGGTAATGGAAATGTCATAATATTGTTTCATGATGCATGCAAATATAGGCAATCTTGTAGCATTACATTACTTTTCCTGTAATAATTTAGCTTATTTTTAGTATGTTTAGTACTATATTCACAGATTTTCACCAAACAAATTACTTTTTCCATCTAATTGAAAGTTCAAGAATGTATTGTAAATTCATTGTTCTGTATTATACCATTCCTTGAAGGAATTTACTAATACAAATATGAATGGAATGGACTAGAAATTAAACAAGTTGTAAAAATGAAGGATTGTATAATAAAAAGCAGATGTGGCATGATTGCCATGAGACAACTCCCACCAGTGACCAAATGACATAGAAGTTAGCAACTACCTTCAGTATAGGTCCCTGTACAGCCTTCAACAATGCACAAAACCTATACCACATAGCAAGCTATAAAAGGCCCTAAAAATGACTAAAGTAAAACAATTCAAATGAGAAAACTAATTGCCTGTCAAGTTACTTTACATTTACATAATGTGGAAAATATTAGAAGTATATGTTTTTTATATAAGAAGATTTAAACATCTTAAAAAATTAGCACATGAATAAGGTTTTTGAGCATTATGATAAATGATAATTTCAGATATTAAAGGATATAACAAATCGGTACAGACTTATGAGAGGATACAGGATACACTACAAACCAGGCTGGGACTGCCATGGTTTACCTATAGAAATGAAAGCTGTTTCCTCTAAAGCCAAACTCACTCCTCTACAAATAAGAGATAAAGGTAAAAACATTCCTATAGAAATAAAAGCTGTGTCATTTTAAAGCCAAACTCGCTCCTCTACAAATATTAAAGAAATAAAGGTAAAAACATTCCTATAGAAATGAAAGCTGTGTCATCTAAAGCCAAACTCACTCCTCTACAAATAAGAGATAAAGGCAAAAGCATTCCTATAGAAAGGAAAACTGTGTCATCTAAAGCCAAATTCACTCCTCTACAAATTAGAGATAAAGGCAAAAGCATTCCTATAGAAAGGAAAACTGTGTCATCTAAAGCCAAATTCACTCCTCTACAAGTAAGAGATAAAGGAAATATTCCTAAGGGTTCCGCGGAGCCCAGTGTCTCGCCTACTTTTGCTGTTAGTCGCAAGCTCAACAAAAATGGGGAAATAATTATTAAAAATTTTCCTTTAGATACTATCTTTTGAATGTAAGAAGCTTCTGTTCAAGTTTGGTAAGAATCCAGGATGGTTTATTAATCTAATAAATGTTTTAAAAAATTTAACTGCAGACTGTATGTAATGTTAACTGGAAGAAAAACTAAGTCCATTTATAAGTAATATACGGAAAAACAGGAAATTTTTTTTTACAAAATTTACTTTTGAATACTATCTTATGATCATAAACAAGCTTCTGTCCAAGTATGGTACAAATCAAGGATATTTTAAGAAAGTTATTAAAATTTGAAAAACTTTAACCACAGAGTGAATGTAATTTTAACTGGCAGAAAAACTAAGTCCATTTTTGAGTAAAATACGGATGAACAGGATTTTTTATTTTACAAAATTTACTTCTGGATACTATCTTATGATCATAAACAAGCTTCTGTCCAAGTTTGGTAGAAATCCAGGAAAGTTTAGGTTAGTTATTAAAATTTGAAAAACTTTAACCACAGAGTGAATGTAATGTTAACTGGCAGAAAAACTAAGTCCATTTATAAGTAAAATACGGATAACAGGATTTTTTTTTTAACAAAATTTACTTTGGAAAACTATCTTATGATCATAAACAAGCTTCTGTCCAAGTATAGTACAAATCAAGGATATTTTAAGAAAGTTATTAAAATTTGAAAAACTTTAACCACAGAGTGAATGTAATGTTAACTGGCAGAAAAACTAAGTCCATTTATGAGTAAAATACGGATAAACAGGATTTTTTGTTTTACAAAATTTACTTCTGGATACTATCTTATGATCATAAACAAGCTTCTGTCTAAATTTGGTAGAAATGCAGGAAAGTTTAAGTTAGTTATTAAAATTTGAAAAACTTTAACCACAGAGTGAATATTTGTGGATGCCGCCAACGACAGAATGTAGGATCGCTATGTCTCGCTTTTGCGACAAAAGTCGCAGACTCGACAAAAAGCAGTCCCAAAATTAAATAAAAATCATTAATGTAAAGATTGTATTTTGACATGATTGAATGGTCATGTTTAAAGCTTTATTTACATAATTTGTTAAAGTTGTTTCCAGTTGAAATGATTATTTTTACATTGTATGTTTGTGGAAAGACCTTTTAGTTCTGATCTGTTAATATCACAGTTGATACTTTTACAGCTAAAAAGTTTGCCCGTGAAGCCATCACAGTCCAGATGGAAGCATTCAAGAGATGGGGAGTAATGGCTGACTGGGATAAACAGTGTTATTATACATTTGATCCTCAGTATGAAGCAAAACAGATGGAAGTGTTTTACCAGATGTATGAAAAGGTCAGTTACAAATGTTTGCTGTTTATACTATAAATAAAAGTTGTATAACTTGTTAGTAAAAATTGATTTACACCTACTTAAACAGTTTTATTTTTATCCATACAGTCATCAGTGATACACCATCATTTGTAATGACAAAAAGTTAATACAATTAAGATTTTTATTTCCTGAAAGTTAATAAAAACACACTGAGAAAAGGCAGAACTTTGTATGATAAGTTTTCATTGTTAGACACAATGATAAACTGGTAATAAATCACAGTTACTTCTTACTAAATTAGTGGCCGAGTGGTCTAAGTAGTTACTACTGTAATCACTAGCCAGTCAACACTGAAATTGTGAGTTCAAACCCTGCTCGTGCGGGTGCACTTGACTCCAATCTTAATTGACTAGGATTGTCAGTTTTCCTATCGAAAGGTCGGTGGTTTTCTCTGGCCACTCCGGCTTCCTCCACTAATAAAAACTGGCCGCCACGAAATAGCCCAAAAGCGGTGCTTAAAAGTGGCGTTAAAACACAGAAAATCAAATGAAAATCAAATCTTACTAAATTGAATACATAACGTCTCTCATTTTTTGGGTCATTAAAGTGATCTAAATAGATAAAAGACCAAATACACTTATTGAATGCAAATTATATGAAAAAATTTAGAGGTAATTTTCATTGATTCATGCTTCAGAGAAATGCCAACCACACTAGGGACTACATTTATTTCTTTATTTATAAAGTTTCAAGATGCTATTAATCTATTCCACACAACAAGTATACAATACAAGATGTTTCCTCTTCTTTAAAATACATAATTGAATTTATTAAAATAGTACTTTTATTAAGTAAAAGTAATATGCTGGAAACACAATGTAGATTTTGTGGTTATATTTTCAGGGTCTTATTTATCAAGACTTCATGCCTGTTTACTGGTCTCCATCTTCAGGGTAAGACTAATAAAACATTCTTGAATAAGTAGCGTTGCAGTTACAATCAGTCACATAATACATTTACCAATAGAACTTATAATGAAGTCCTCAGGCAATTTACAGGAATGTGTTGACCTCTGCGACCCCATAATGCTATAGAGAGAAAAACTAAAAAACATCAACAGAATTGGAACCCATCAATATAGATACTTTTCAGGAAGATTTGTAAAAAATTGATTTTAAGTCAAAATCTGAATTTGATAGTAAATAAAGTTTATATGTACAACAAAACAGTAACAAAAAATGTATGAAGTTAACTGTGCCATAGGGAGATGTTCTCATAGTTTCCCTACAATTGAATTCATGCCAGTTCTGAGGCATTAGCAGAGGGGTTCAATGATACCCTTAGGAAGTGATCAATGTAAGCTTTAAAGGATCATGACATCTCCAAATGTTAAATGAAAATGCTAAGGGTGAATGGAATTCGCTATCTATTTGCCACATCAGGGAAGTGAAAATCTTGAAGTTGATTGATGTCAATAAGACAGTAAAATATCAAATTGTCCCTTTTCATAGGCAGGTGAAATTTATACCAGCCCTTGTATGTACTTGGTACTTATCTTTTATAATGTAGACACTTGACAGTTATGATAAACATGAAATAGGACTGACCAGCAACAAGATTTTGTTTCTGCATCACTAAGATGTTTTATGAAAAGTATAGGTTCAATGTACTGAAAATAAACCAATCTTTCTATAGATTTAAACGCTTTACTTTACTTAAATATATAGTCCCCACCAGTGGTAATGACTAAGTGATAATAGAAACACTTAAATACTGATTACGGTAGGTGCAACCTTGGGACATAATATTTATTGGAAGTAAGAATTATTAAATAGTCAGAGAGTAACACCTATATAGCCTGACCAAAACTAACGAACCAGTCTTAGATCAACTCTGCTAAATGAACTGGAAATTTACAATGAAATGTACATTTAAATTTTTCTAGTACTACATCATTGGTTGCTGTATGGAAGGTACAATTGTATAATAAGTCACATTTTTTTTGTCGATTTATGACAGGACAGCCTTAGCAGAATCAGAATTGGAATACAATCCAGATCATAAGAGTAAATCTGTATATGTTAGCTTTCCAGTCACTAAATCATCAGAACAACTTGAAAATTTCATTGGCTGTAAGTAATTGATTTGCTGTTTTAGTAAATTGTTTAAAAGTGTTTGATGTATAATGAAGGTGAATGAAACAAGATCTCATCTTTTCTACATGAGAAACAATAAAATATAAGTCCTCAAACCTTCTGACAGGGATCTCACATCTTCAATATGGACTTGCTTATAATGTGTTGATCCTAGAAAATTTCTGACATCTAATTACTTGGTAAATCAGTATCGAATATAATAAGCAATTCAGAAATCAGTCTTTATAAACCAATGTGTGGATAAGTACAGTAACCTTTAAAGTTTCTTTGGTAGAAAACTAATTGCATCAAAACTATATAAAATTTGCACCGATTTATATAAGGAAATATTTTGAATTTTTCAATAAAAATTTTGTTAAAAAAAGCTTTTAATGCTCATATTAGGGGCTGGAAGAGATTTGTATGCTGTAATATGGACAACCACACCATGGACTTTACCAGGAAACAAAGCAATATGTATTGGACCAGAACTCAGGTACCTAATTTTATATTTTGAGAGTGTTTTTTTCTGTTAGGTACGTATACAGTACATGCAAATAAGTAGCTTTTATGTATTGTAAACATGGATTTGTTCATATCAATAACCGTTTTTCTTCCAAAAAATATTTCCTATGGGGATATTTTTGGGCATTTTTCGTGATCGTAAAATAAGTGAAAAATAATCCCTGCAGAACAATTTTCTACAGTTCCTTTCAATCAAAACTCATATTCATAGATTTATTTTGATTTTACATGGAACCATAATTCTCTATTTGGTTTAATTGGTAATGCCTTTTTCTTAGAAAATTATTTCATAGTTCCAAGCTTTTTTTTCTTTCATGTGCCACTTTATTTTTTATCACATATGCAATCAACTACATAAAAATGAGCTAAATTTAATTTATAGAATGGACACATGGTGTTCACAAATTTAATTTATAGAATGGACACATGGTGTTCACAAAAAGATAATGCTCAAAAATAATTTAACCCAGAAACATTCTCATGTGTCTGTCCCAAGTCTTTAGTGACCATCTTTACTTATATGTTACCCAGAAACATTCTCATGTGTCTGTCCCAAGTCTTTAGTGACCATCTTTACTTATATGTTACCCAGAAACATTCGCATGTGTCTGTCCCAAGTCTTTAGTGACCATCTTTACTTATATGTTGATATTTTCTTTGATATTTTGGGAAATTTCATGTTAATGGTAGATTTTTGATAATGTCTGTTAACTTTTCTTCACTACTTATCTCTCCTTTTGGGGATTAAGAACTTATTGTGTAGTCTATTGTCTAATGTTGAAGACTTAGTCTTATATAGTCTGACTATATATCAACTTTTAGATTTCTTTTGTTTTTATTGCCTGATTTGTATATTGTCTTACTGACATATACCCAGTATTTCTTTTATTTATATGTTAAAGGGGCATAATTGGTAAACTAAACATTCTTTATTTGAAATCATTTAAAGAAAACTCATAAAGAATCCACTTTTTGTTTGCAGATATGTTTGTGCAGAAGATCCAGAAAACAGCAATATTTATATTTGTGAAAAATCATTTGTTGATAAATTGTCAGAGTTACTTGGAAAATCCATCAGAGTCCTAAATGATTTTCCTGGTAAGATTGAAATGTCTAAAAATTTGTACTTCATATCATGTATATTGTTGGTATATTATTGAAATAAGTTGACATTATTGTATTAGGCAAATTTTTTAGCCCCTGAATTAAACCTTTTTCGAAGTGGCTGATAGCTATTGAACTTTTTTGGATTACATTGCTACATTCCTTTTTGTCGAGCCTTCGACTTTTGTCGAAAAAGCGAGACATAGCGATCCTACATTCCGTCGGCGTCGGCGTCGTCGTCGTCGTCGTCGGCGGCGTCCACAAATATTCACTCTGTGGTTAAAGTTTTTGAAATTTTAATAACTTTCTTAAACTATCCCGGATTTCTTCCAAACTTGGACAGAAGCTTGTTTATGATCATAAGATAGTATCCAGAAGTAAATTTGGTAAAAAAAAAATTCCATTTTTTCCGTATTTTACATATAAATGGACTTAGTTTTTCTGCCAGTTAACATTACATTCACTCTGTGGTTAAAGTTTTTGAAATTTTAATAACTTTCTTAAACTATCCTGGATTTCTACCAAACTTGGAAAGAAGCTTGTTTATGATCATAAGATAGTATCCATAAGTAAATTTTGTAAAAAAAAAATTCCATTTTTTCCGTATTTTACATATAAATGAACTTAGTTTTTCTGCCAGTTAACATTTCATTCACTCTGTGGTTAAAGTTTTTAAAATTTTAACAACTTTCTTAAACTATCCTGGATTTCTACCAAACTTGGAAAGAAGCTTGTTTATGATCATAAGATAGTATCCAGAAGTAAATTTTGTAAAATAAAAATTCCATTTTTTCCGTATTTTACTTATAAATGGACTTAGTTTTTCTGCCAGTTAACATTACATTCACTCTGTGGTTAAAGTTTTTAAAATTTTAACAACTTTCTTAAACTATCCTGGATTTGTACCAAACTTGGACAGAAGCTTGTTTATGATTAAAAGCTATTATCTTAACATTACATACAGTCTGCAGTTTAAGTTTTTAAAACTTTTATTAGATTCATAAACTATCCTGGATTTTTACCAAACTTGGACAGAAGCTACTTACAATCAAAAGATAGTATAGAGAGGAATATTTTTATTAATTTTTTTCCTCATTTTTGTTGAGCCTGCCATTAACAGCAAAAGTAGGCGAGACACTGGGTTCCGCGGAACCCTTACGAATTTTTTTATTTGAGAAAGCTTTTATAGATAGTTTTCGCTCACCTGGCTCATGGGGGTGTATACTTTTAAAAAAAAAACCTTTGTTGATAAAACAAAAGAGCAAAATTTGACCAAACTTCTTGTGAAAAGGGTTAGTTTAAACAGTATTTATTATTGAAAATTACAGTAACATATTAGTACAATTTTACAAAATAGTCAAATATGGGATTCCAAAACAAGTTTAGAAAAACTTTTATAAATCTGTCCCCTGAAAAAAAATACAATTATATAGCTAACAATATGAGTGCTAGCAGTATATACAGTTAATGGTAACATATAATAAATGTCAATAAATACAAAAATTACAACAACAAAAAAGAATAAAAAAATTAAAAAGGATATCATTGTGATATAAGGAACACAACATATCTAGGCATACCTGGAACACAACATATCTAGGCATGTCTGGAACACAACATATCTAGGCATACCTGGAACATAACATATATAGGCATACCTGGAACATAACATATCTAGGCATACCTGGAACACAACATATCTAGGCATACCTAGAACACAACATATCTAGGCATACCTGGAACACAACATATCTAGGCATACTTGGAACACAACATATCTAGGCATATCTGGAACACAACATATCTAGGCATACTTGGAACACAACATATCTAGGCATACCTGGAACACAACATATCTAGGCATACCTGGAACACAACATATTTAGGCATACCTGGACACAACATATCTAGGCATACCTGGAACACCGTGTCTACTTAATTTAATGCCTGGTTATATGATATATGGTTCAATGAAGTCTTTTCCAGGAATAAATAAGTTGTGTATTTCCCAATATTCAGGTAGTGCCTTTGATGGTGCAAAGTATTCACACCCACTTACTGGTGAAGAGTTACCTTTCTTGGTTGGTAAGCATGTGACTATAGAAAAAGGAACAGGATTGGTTCATACAGCACCTGGTCATGGGCATGATGATTTTGTGATTGCTATCAATAATGGATTAAAAGTGGTAAATAATGAAATTTTAGTGTTCCTTTTTCCTGATCGATTAGTTAATATTAACTTGAGTGGGTCATTTAGATACTAACTTAGATTTGAATTCATGATTTTCTTATACTCACAGAATCCATGTAAAATTGGTATCTCACGTATAACAAGGAATCCTCAGTAGTTAAGAATGTTTGAAAATTCAAAACAAATTCAAAAGGTTTTATGGAACCTGATGTTCAGTGGTTGTCGTTTGTTGATGTGGTTCATAAGTGTTTCTAGTTTCTTGTTTTTATATAGATTAGACCGTTGGTTTTCCTGTTTGAATGATTTTACACTAGTCATTTTTGGGGCCCTTTATAGCTTGCTGTTTGGTGTGAGCCAAGGCTCCGTGTTGAAGGCCGTACTTTGGCCTATAATTGTTTACTTTTTACACATTGTGACTTGGATGGAGAGTTGTCTCATTGGCACTCACACCACATCTTCTTATATCTATTATGGATGGTTTTTATTTGATATATACAGTGCTGTTCAGTTGCATTTTCAATCGCTTATTATTTTTACGAAGAAAACATCTTTTTTTTTGCAAAGAGCATTATCACTCAATTATAAAAAAAATCTCTGCCAATTATAGCATATGAAAGAAATGCACAAAAGCGGCTGTTTCTATGTTATTTTAAGTTTTACAGAGCAGGTTTACTATATGTTCTGATTACAATGACACTGGAAAAAACATTAACAAAATATTGATATATATATTATACATAAACCACTTAAAAGTAAAATGTTTTCCTTTTAAGTATTCATCACAGACACAATTCGGTGCTGATCTTTTCACTAATAGTAATGTTGTAGAAAATGATAAAATTTCTTCTTTTTTTTTTAATTAGACAAGTATGGTAGATGAGAAAGGACAATATGATTGGCATGCTGGTAAAGAACTAGAAGGTAGAACTATTGGTGTGGATGCTGAAGAGAAAGGTAAGTTGTACAGTTAAATCATATGCAGATTAATACTGGTGCTGATGATGGGTAGATCAGTAGCTAATGCAGTTAATATTAGGGAAAAGCAAATATATAAAATTCCAGGTATATTCTAAACATATATGTACAAACGAAGAACTTGATGGGTAAGGAATTGAATTATTTTGCTATAGTATTGTTGTTGCTTATGAAATGAATTTTTGTTCATTTTTGTCTCGCCTTGATAGAGTCAAAAAGCGAGACATAGGTATGCTGTTTCCGGCATCGGCGGCGTCAACAATGTATTAGTTTGTGATTAGGTCTAGTTCATGGTGAACCACTAGTGGTAGGTCAATGATATTTGGTATACAGTTGTATTAGCATTTGCACATCTCATTACCATGGAGATTTTTTGGCCCTGCCCCCTCAGTCAAGGTCTATTGACTTTGAAACTTTGCTTCTTTTACATGTATTAGTTTGTGATTAAGTCTAGTTCATGGTGAACCACTAGTGGTAGGTCAATGATATTTGGTATGCAGTTGTATTAACATTGGCACATCTCATTACCATGGAGATTATTTGGCCACGCCCCCTCATTCATGGTCTATTGACTTTGAAACTTTTGCTTCGTTTTCATGTATTAGTGTGTGATTAGGTCAGTTCAAGGGGGAACCGTTAGTGGTAGGTCAATGATAATTGGTATGCAGTTGTATAAGCATTAGCACATCTCATTTCCATGGAGAATATTTGGCCCCGCCCTCTCAGTCATGGTCTATTGACTTTGAAACTTTTGCTTAGTTTACATGTATTAGTTTGTGATTAGATCAGTTTAAGATGAACCTCTAATGTTAAGTCAATGATATTTGGTATGCAAATGTATTGGCATTTGCAAGTCTCGTTTCCATGGATTATATAACCCCACCTCCTCATCATGGTTCATTGATTTTGAAACTTTTACATAGTTTACAAGTCAATGTTTGTGTTTAGGTTTGTTGAAAGGGAACGACTTATGATAAGTCTATGGTATTTAGTATGCAGTTGTATTACCATTGGCACATCTCATTTCCATGGAGATTGTTTTGCCATGTACCTTCAGTCATGGTTCATTGACTTTGAATATTTGCATAACTTACATGTTAAAGTATTGCTATTTTAATTTCAACATTTGCATTATCAAAAGTGCAAAAAGGCCAGACATATCTCTGTGTTAACAGTTTATTTAAGTGTTTGATAGAATACTGCATAGAATATTTGTTTCAAGCAACAAATAAGTTAATACATGTATTAACATTAAGAATAGATAAATTTAATACCACCCTATAGGCTCCATACCGTTTGTTGAAGAAAAAAAGAGATTACCCAGCTTTTTTTGTTTTCAAGATTTCCACAGTTGACTGTGAAAGGACATTTCATTTTCTTCATTGCCAGTTCAACTATTAGATCATAAATTATGACATTCGTACATTTATACACTATGTACAAAGATACAAATACAAAAAAAAACATGATGGCAGTAAATCAGTGCTCAATTCAGATACGTTGACATTTGATTATAAGTTGGTTTTACAGTGTAAATTGTGTTGGTACAAAAGAACCGCTATTTGCTTTATTTACTTTTCGTTTCAAATGATGGCTTTTTTGTTTCAGTACTAGAACTTCTTGGTAACCATATAATAAAAGTAGAGGATTATGTGCATAAATATCCATATGACTGGAGAACCAAAAAACCTGTGATAATTAGGGCCAGTAAACAATGGTTTGTCAGTACAAACAAACTTAAAACTAAAGCTTTAGTAAGTACGAAGCATTATGTACAGTAACAATGACTATGTTGAAATACACATATAAATATACTTAAATAGACAATTTTTTTATTTGGCATGTTTTCAATGAAGAGATCTGAAACTTTTGATTCAAATTTTTTTTAACAATATCAGATGAACTTGTAAGAGGAGTCTAGCTTTGGTTGATTTATTTGATCTACTAGATATCAATCTTAAATATCAAGTTATTTTATATAGATTTTATTTCTACTGGTCATACTGAAAATATTTATAAAGTTTTATTGATTGGCAAAAATTCTGAAAGAATTAATGTTTTTTCTGTTTCAAAACTTCAAAATTAAGGATTGTTTAAATTTTTTGGTACTATCTGCGACCTCAATGTCAGTTACCATATTTTGTTGACCTCTAGATGTTCATTTTATGTTGCTGTTTATAGTTTTGGTAATTTTTATTAATATTTATCAAATAGCTCTTATTAATTCAGTTCTTCTGTTGTCTATATTGTAGGAATGTTTGAATGAAATCAATGTCTATCCAAAATCATCAGAACATTCCATGCAATCAATGTTAGGATCAAGACCATACTGGTGTATATCTCGACAGAGAGTCTGGGGTCTACCTATACCAGTCTTTTATCATAAACAGACCAAACAACCTCTTGTGAATAGGTAATTTCAAATTACTTATCAACCTTTTCAGGCTACATATAAAGTTACTTTCATACCAATTGAAAAACTTTTGGCAAATTTACAGCCCTTTTTACTGTCAGAGAAAATTTCATCAAAATTGTACTTTTCCAGACTTTTTTGTTATGCCTGCAAATTTGGAGCTGATGTGTATAAAAGTCTGCAGATCTGGGCATTCAGGTCATATTTAACCAAACTGGTTCAATATTATGACAAGTGATAGGGTTAAACATCCCCTAATGCATCTTTGCCTTTGCCTTCACCAATGCTGGAAATTACTGAAATTTGCAGATTTTTTCTATTTAATATTTTGTTATGGCTACATGTATTACTTTATTTGTTTGGAATGAAATGTCTGCTCATATAACCTCTGGTTTTCAGATTAAATGTGTTAATCTGGATGAAATTCAGATCAAAAATTGTGTTAAATAGATGTTAAATCATATTTCTATATGGAACTGTTTTGGTTGACTAAAACTAATGCCATTCAACTCTTGAAGTCACCCAAGGAAAGATAAAGAACCTACAATGTCTAGTATTGAAAAGATATTGTCATGACAAATAAGAATATTTATATATATGGTAAACGGTTGGGAATCTTAGCTGTTTTCAATATACTTTAACAATTCATGGTATGAAGGTATGGAGCATAACCCCCAAACCCCCACATAGACAAATCTATAGTGCACTTAAAAGGCATTGTGATGGTAGTTTAAAATATATTTGGTTAAGGGGTAAGTATCTGAACAGTTGTTGATATAAAAAAAATTACAATATGAGGTGGGGCATGTCCCCCAGGAAAAATTCAATGGTGTTTGAAAGCTCTTGTGACAATTAGAATATATATGGTTGAGGGGTGGGGATATGAACCGTTTTAACGCTATTTAACAATAAATGACATGCAGGGGTGTGGCATATCCCCTGTGACAAAGATATGGTGAACTAAAAAGATCTTATTGAGACAAGTAAGAATATATATGGTTTTGGGTAGGACAAAGAAAATTCAATTATTTGACCTAAGTCCTTATAGGTCAAAGGTTAGAGTTCATTTTCCATGATATGCAACACAGCATCTTGAGATGCTGCACTCATATACCAAATATCTTAAGTATATGCCAAAGGATAAAAAAGTTACTGGTTCCTTATGAAACTTATTACAAATATATTTTCAGAGCAACCATAGATCATTTGAAATCCCTTGTCTTAGAACATGGTAGTGATTGTTGGTGGAAGCTTTCTGAAGAGGAATTACTTCCAACAGATATGTTAACAAAGGTAATTTATTTGCATTTGTTGGCTAGAGATTTTCATGAAATCATAGGATAAGAAAATCTAATAAAATCCTTTATCTGGTGCATCAAACTAACTGATTTAGTTAATGATTCATTTGAGTTTTTGTGTATCCATCTGGGTTGTATTTGGGGTTTTTTCATTTGTTTTACTGGTAATGGGTAAAACAATTACATCAATTAAACATATGATATAATTTGATTTGTGCACATTCTTTCATCCTTATCATGTTTTTGTGCAGAGTTATACCGAATACTGTAAATTCAGAAATTATTGTGAGGTTTTTATTAATGCGACTATGTGAGGATCGCAATAATAAGAACTCATATTCTGATATCTGATACAATTATCAGAAATATCAATAATTGTTCATTCTTCAAAAATCACTATAATAAATGTAGCAATAATTTCTGAATTTATAGAACAATGTATTGAAGTCAGTTACTTTTGTACATATTTCTTTGAATGTTTATTTCATTCTTTATCAGATGGGATTAGGAAAGGCATCAGATTATGTCAAGGGAGAAGATATATTAGACATATGGTTTGACAGTGGAATATCATGGGCTGCTGTTTTATCAGGTACTGAATAATCTTTTTAACAAGTTTGGATCCAGACCTTGAGCCATAAATTTAATGCTTTAATAGTAAACCACACATTTGTAATTTTCACATGGTGAAAACTGACATCAAAAATAAATTCAATGCATAGAAAGAATTGTCCTGTTTTGAATTTCAAGTTTTACCTGTAAGCAGCCAGCCTGTTCCCTCTCCATTTATTTTAACCATTGTCTTAACTTGGCATCCATCTGTTTGCTAGAAATTTTTCTAAAATATTTTTCTCTTATACTCTATGCTCAATGTGGACCAAATTTTGCATCAATCTCCTATCAACATATCAAATGACAATGTCAACAAAAATAGTGGCAGTTATAACAATAAATAGAAATTTTCTTTAACACTCCCATATTCATCCTTGATTGTATTGACAGTAAACTGCGTATTTGGAACCAAAAAAATTTGAATTGCTCTTTTAGGGTTCTCTTGAATTTAAGGATATCGTCTACCTAAAAAGATGACCACTGATGCAATTAAACAATATTCATTTATATTATTACTTATATCTGACAGACTAATATTTTGTAAAAATCTAAAGAATACTATTCACATATGAGTATTTGACAAATAATATCACTTTTTGTTATTAAAAAAATGAACTAATAAGACCTTCTTTTTGGAAAAATATATTTTTAAAATTCAGATAAAAATTGGTCCAACCAATTTGAAATGTACATTCATTCCATTTGAGCTTTGGTGGATAGTTGTCTCATTATCAATAATGCCTCATTTCCTTATTTTTATATGTATACTGTCCTGTGATGTTTCCCTTTGCACTTACATCTGATGATCCCATCAAAAGTCTGCAATGTCAGCTGACATATTTTCCATTGTACCTTCTTGGAAATACTTTGAAAACTCTTCTCTATACCAAACTCATTGAAAAATTGATTAAATTCATCCTAAGTGTGTCTGATTTCATTAAATGATCCCTTCACTCAATGCAATGTTGAGTTTACTGTAAATAGAGTACTTGGGTAAAAAACTAACATTAATTATTGCTCTGCAATTATTTTACCTATTATAAACAAATCATCAATTGTGAATTGACCTTTTACTTATGGACTGCTATTTTGAAGTGACCAGAACAATCTTTCTGAGGCCCTTGACTTGTTATTTAAGTTTCATTGTAGGAGAACAGAAGGCAGATTTATATTTAGAAGGCTTAGATCAGTTTGGTGGATGGTTTCAGTCTTCATTGCTAACCAGTGTAGCCTTAACTGGCACTGCTCCTTACAAGTTTGTAAACTTTATATTATAGAATTGAGAATTGAAACTGGGAATGTGTCAAAGAGACAACAACCCAAAAAATGGGAATGTGTCAAAGAGACAACAACCCAAGAAATGGGAATGTGTCAAAGAGACAACCACCCAACCAAAGAGCAGAAAACAGCCCAAGTCCACCAATGGGTCTTCAACGCAGCGAGAAAATCCCAAACCCAGAGGCAGGCTTCAGCAGGCCCTTAAACAATAATGTATACTATTTCAGGAAAATGTGTGCCACACTAAACTCCAAAACATATAAATGGATCAAGATTAAAAAATGCACAAGACTAACAAAGGCTAGAGGTTCCTGACGTGGGACAGCTGCAGAACTGTGGCTTTTAAAATGTTTTGTGAGATCTCAATCCTTCCCCTATACCTCTAGCCAATGTGGAATATTCACAGTGATACGCACTGTAAAACTCAGTTTAAAAGAAGTCCTAGTTCAATGTTAGAATAGGTAGCAGAAGAAACTAAGCAAAATGACAATGATTATTCTCCATACGATGTCCAATTATGTTTATTCCATATTTCTGGTACTGTTTCAGTGTGAATTTAACCAAGTATTGTTTTTTTTTGTATAAAATAAAGGTAAAAAAAATCTTGTTTTTAATTATCACATGATACTTTGAGTTTACTCCAGTATTTATTATTTTAGCTTGACAAATTTGTAGCAGAAAAAGAAATTTGAATAGTTTTGGCTAATATGATATAGCTCATTTATAATAAGAGCTGCGTCGGATAGAAATTGACCTTATGCAAATGAATATCAATACATCTGTTAATCTATTTAGGGTTGAAGATATCTCTACGGAAAGTTTTTAACTGTTTGAAAATTGCGCTGTTATAAGAACTCCTACAAAATAGACCAAAATTCCTCTTTTATTTCGTATTTGATTGTTCCAAATCAATCAAAGTCTTATATATGTACATGTATACATACACTTGCATAAGGTCGATTTCTATCCGACGCAGCTCATAAGTTGAAAGCTTACCTGCTAAATAAGAAAAAAAAAACATTCCTGTTAAATATGCAATATTGTTTTTTGAATATTGATAGTTGTTGCATTTTAGGTCTCTTCTTGTACATGGTTTTGCTGTAGATGAGGAAGGAAAGAAAATGTCCAAATCAGTAGGAAATGTAATAGATCCTGAAATAGTTATAAATGGAGGAAAGGTAAACCTTAACAGGGGGGTTGTGATTGAAAATTCTTTTGTATATGGTTGTCAAAGATTACCAAAAAGCACAGATTACCCTAAAAAGGACACCTTAACACAAGAAAATTATGCACTTGAAGAAAGTATTAAAAAAAATCTGTACCTTGTAACAACATATAATTGAATAACTAAGACCTGTAACTACTGTAAGCATATTTATAATAAATATATCTGAAAAAAGGTATTCATGTTGACTCATTGAATTTTGATATAACAAATGAGAAATTGAATGAGCTAATAGTTTTTTGTCTTACCTGCAAAACATAGGCATATAGATCTGGCAGAAGCAGCAATGGAATAAACTATTTTTATAAAGCTTTTCAGAAGTTGGAAAACTTGGATACTTCTTATCTTGTATACAGATTCCTTATGTTCTGAAGTTTCTGTCTTGCATATGTCCACTGTCCTGGGCCTCATTTTCATGGTTCAGGAACTGCTTAAAAAAACTGTAAAGTTTTTTTATCCTGTGATTTTCTCACATATCATGAGAAAAATAGATCAACTATATTTGGAACATTAAATTATTGCTAGGTCTACTTGTTTGTCTGATGGGACTGACCTGACTTTGAACTTTGAAATGTCATTGATAAGTGATAAACTTTAAGATTTTGAGGTTAAATCAATTTCTTCAGATACTATAAGCATTAGGTCAACTATAAATGTATGGACTTACTGTAAAGTGATCATGTCTGTCTGGCCGGGTTCATTTGACATTGACCTCATTTTCATGGTTCACCCGTCAATGTTTAGCTTTTGTGTTTCTCTCAAATGCTTTAAGCAAACTACGTATTTTATGTTTGTCCCGCTGGGTTTATCTTACCCTGACCACATTTACAATGTTCATTGGTCAATGTTAAGTTTTCTTGGTTAGGTTCGTTCTCAGCTACTATAACAATAGGTCAACTTTTTTGATGTATGGAAATATTATAAGGTGAACATGTCTGTCTGTAAGGGTTCATTTGACCTTGACTTTATTTTCATGGTTCATAGCGCAATGTTAAGTGTTCATGGTTAGGGCTGTTTCTTATATACAAATTTGTGTATGGAATAATTGTAAGGTGTACATGTCCATATAGTAGGGTTCATCTGACATAAACTTGATTTTAATGGTGAACTTAAGTTTTTGTGTTTAGGTTAGTTTCACAGATACGGTAAGCAATAGATCAAGAATAATTGGTGTATTTAGTATTCATGGTGTACATTGTCTGTCTGGCAGGATTTTTCATAGCATGACCTGATGAGAATGTTATGTTTATGTGGTACCTGCAGTAAAAAATTTATCTGAAAGGCTATCAACATAAAATTCATCATGATCATTAAAACAGGTGAAACATTAAATTTAGCTTGTCCACCCCTGGTTCCATTATGACATGTACGTATGATAAGCAGAATAATCAGTCATATACTTTCAATCTTCAGGCTTCTTTAATATGTTTCGCCTGTTTTAGTAAAAAAACAAGGAGATGTGGTATAATTGCCAATGAGACAACTACCCACCAGAGTTCAAATGAAGTGGATGTAATTAGCTTCCAACAATGAGCAAATCCAATAGCATATAAATGTCTATAAACGGCCTCTATATGACAAAAGTTGAAACAATTCAAACAAAATAACAGCCTAATTTATAACAATACAGTTTACAATTTAGTGTATGTATAATGTAAATTAATGAATCAATATTTATATAATTTTTAAACTTGTCTGGTAATGCTTGTAAACAAAATTCCAACCCAAATTTAGGCATATGTATTCATTGATGCAGTATTTGTTCATTTTCTTTGGCATGAATACATCTATTCCTTTTTTGTAAATAAAGGTTAAATATGCAAAATTAAACCAAAATCATTTTGGATACCAAATGGAAATGACATATACATGTCTTACTTATTTTCTAAAGGTATATATTAAGTATGAATAATTTTTGGTTTTTTTTGGTTAAATTTAATTGAAATGAAGAAGACAATATCAAAACACTAAGAAAAGAAAGTTAAAGGATAATTTAGTAGTTTTGTAAATTTTTATAAGTTTTAAAATCTACTTCTGTATTATTATGTTTTTCAGAATAAATCTAAGGAGCCATCTTATGGGGCAGATGTTTTAAGACTATGGTCAGCAGAGTGTAATTTACAATCAAATGTTATGATTGGTCCAACCATATTGGAAAAGTGCAATGAAGAAATGTATAAGGTATAAGATTTGTATGTATGGGAATATCAATAATGACATTTTTATATGACCGCAAAATTTTTGCTGCGGTATAATGGTATGGTGATGTCGTCGTCATTGTCTAAATACATTGGTTTCCAGACAATAACTTGAGTATAAGTGTATGAATCTCTATGAAATTGTATCACAAAAGGAAGTTTGTGAGTAATTTTGGGGGTTATTGTCCTAAATGTTTAGGAATTAGGGGCCAAAAACAAGCATTTTTCTTGTGTCAGGACAATAACTTGTGTATAAATGTATGGATCTCTATGAAATTGTACCATAAGTTCCACCCTGCAGAGCATTTTATTGTTAATGATGCACTAATTTACCAAAAAAAAAGTACCGTTTATTGCCAGGATTTGTTTCTCATGAATCTAACATTAAAAAAAAATTTGCCAAACATTTTGATATGACTCAATATTTCAACGAAGTTAATAAACTTGAGGCATAGCATGTAAAATATCAGTGTGACAAACTTGCACACAAAACAAAATGGTTTCATTTATTGATATTGATAGCAGAATGTGGTGCCTTAACAGACTGAAAAGCTTTTGGAAAGGTTGCATGGAAGGCACATTGTATTATTGTATGTGAATGCCAGTAGGTGGATTGCTCTGGCAAGGTGATTAAGGGTTCTTCTTTCTGCAATCAAATACACTTTTTAACCCAGAAACTTCCCTTTTTTGTATATCTTTAAGTAGACATTTAGATAAACAAGCTTTAAAAAAAGCTGTAAACAGTCATGTTATGGAGACCAAAACTTCTCAATTCAAGTAACAAAAGAATTTCTTGTGTTTTTTTTATCACAGATAAGAAAAGTTCTGCGGTATTTGCTAGGTAATGTTAATGATTTTGACAACTTGTCTTTATCAATGCATCAGCTGTGGCCTCAAGACAGATACATGTTACATCTGCTTCATCAGTTTGGAAAACAGGTAAAAGTCAAGGAAAATGTAATTATTTAAAGATTATTATAATTTGAAGGTAGTTCAGCACTGTTCAACTGTGCAGCTATAGGATCCTAGTCTTTATACAGTACTTAGTTTATTAGTTGTTATCATGTTTTAAAGTGATGTTTATATATATGAGAATTTATCACTCTTTTCTTGGAAGTAAAATTATATGCAAAACCTTATTTTGTTTCTATAGACATTGTTTACAAAAACTTTTAAAGTACAGAATTATCAATGAATCAAAGAATCTATGATTTGATCTGGGAATGCACCTTTTCCTGAAATGTACTCAGCTTTTATTCTATTTTGTGAAATGTGAAGCAGAAATTGGTACTTCATAATCAATGAAACTTAAACATCCTAATAATGTAAAATGTTTAAAAATTGCCTCAATTGTCACTCTAAAGTTGTATGACTTTACCTTTAAAAAGGGGGTGGTGATAATATCACCTTTTGTATGAAAACTTCATAATAATTTCATAGAATTGTATGAAACACATTACTACCTGAACCAAGAAAAGTAACCCCCATTTGATTATTTTCTGACATTTTGTTTTGGAGATATTTGACTTTAATCGTAAATGTTTGATCTTTCACCACAATCAAAACATTACAAAATGTATTTAGTTTAGTTTCATATAATCACCATACTATTATGTTTCTAGAATATGATGTACATTTTTATTTTTAGGTGTCTGGACATTATGATGAGTATAGATATGGTAAAGTTATGCAAACTGTGGAAAAGTTTATCAATATTGAAGTTTCTAATTTTTATTGTAGTATTATCAAAGACAGGTTAGTATATGATAATAGATATTTATTTTATATTTTTTTAATAACATCCCAATTTAAGTCAATTGAATCCAAAATGTTAGCACCTTCACAAACTCAACTCTAATAGTATCTCAGCAATTTAGAATTTCTATCTTTGTTATGATACTATAACTATCATAGTTGAGTCATTTTGAATAAATGATAAATGGAACAACTTTCAGGTCGCATATGCTGGTGATACATACATTGTCATTGGGTTTGATAACTGTCAGTTGAGTCATGATATTGAATTTATTAGATATTTAACTACTTTGGTAAAGACTATTATTGTATGTGTTCATAACTGTTTTTACATTTGGAATGACATTCTAACATGACGAAAAAACAGATATTTATCACTTCAAAAAAATTATTAATGTTTTTAGTGCTCTTTTTCTTCCATAGCCATGTATTGTACAATTTATACTGTTTCAGGTTATATTGTTCTGATAAAGAATCTCTGAGACGTCAGTCTAGTCAGTTTGTGCAGTATCACATTATCAATGTTGTCATGAGAGCCCTAGCACCAATATTACCTCATTTTGCTGAAGAGTTATATCAATATTATCCAAATTTAGAGCAACATAAAGGTTAGCATGAAGTTGGAGTATTACTATTAGATGCCCTGTCCCAAAATAACAAGAGTTTCACTTTGTTGATTTACTTCTGTCTGCGCATCTGCCAGTTAATTAAGTTTATTGTCGAAGACCTTTTCTCAGAAATCAATTTTAGTATATGCATTTATATTTAACAAATTCAGCAACATTTGGGTCATTTGACCTCTAGTTCAATATGTAGTCACTGCAACTACTAGCAATCAATTCCATTTCTCAAGAAATCAAATATATTTCATCACAATAATTCTATACATATTACTTAATAGCTCTGCAACAATTAAGTCACCATGACATACATTGCTGTTAAAGTGATTACTATTGGTCAGAGAAACCAATGGGATAATGTATAATTTTTTCGTTACTAAAACCTCATGTATAAAGCAGCACTGTTTATAATGTTACTTGGACAAACCATAGCATGCAATATGACAGAATGTGTATTTGATAGAGTAAAAATATATAGTAACATTTTGTTTTGTTTATTACAGATGACAGTATTTTTAAAGGTGGTTGGTGTGACTTAGATCCTAACTGGTATGACAAATCATCAGCCAACCTTATCAAGCCTGTGTTAGATATCAAAGACCACTTAAATAGTGTCATTGTTTCTGAAAACCCTGTAGAGTTTGATGTTATAATTTATGCTAGCCATCTTTTATATGAAGTTTTAACAGTAAGTTACAAAAATTTGATGTCATGGCATCTCTATGTTAATATCGAAAAATCAAGTCATTAGATAGGTTCAATGGCCATTGAATATTGTTGTACCTTTGTCTGTTATTTTGTAATTCTGATATACCACAATTTTGTAGGCATATTTTTATTATGTCCATAGATATTGAGCTGGAGAACTTACATAGATACTGAACTCATACCTGTCAACTAACACCATTAAGACGTGAACTACATTATTTTAACCTCTTACCCCAAATGCAAGATCACAGTCTTGTAAAAAGCCCCAAAACAAGATTTTGTAAAATATTACCTAAATTTGTTATTTTTTAATGTTTTGTACTCTTCCCAAGGGAGACAATTGTTAGCATTGATAATTAACCATCAAAAGCAGTTTTGAATGAGATCATGCTGTCTCCTGATTAATGGCAACATTGTAAACCATCAAATGTCGAAAACTAGTGTTAAATACAAAGTTGTTTTTACCCGATCTTGTATGTTACAATTATGAAAATCATGATCATGGTGGATGAATTATCCATACCTGCCAACTTTTGAAAATGCAAATGGGGGTTTTTGTGCGAGACACCATTTTTAAGGGTCAAAGTTGTTCGCGGCATTTTTTCGTGTGTGCTGATTTGGCTCAAGAAATAGTGGAATACTTTTATTTTTGGAAGATGAGGTTATAACCCTTCTTTTTTAATTTTATGAATGTTGTACTGTTTTTATTGTGATAAACACCAGTAAGATTTCTTGTTATGTTTATCTGATACATTGTAAAGAAAAAAAAAAATCATTTTTATAATTTAATAACAAAAAGGCAACAGTATATAATATAGTCTATATTATAGATCAATATCAACAGGTGTAATGTCAAATATACAAAAGGTACTATTAAAAGGTGCGTGGAATGACTTCTGGTGAAGAGCAGTACTAGCATGTTTGGAGACGTCATTGAGGCCACCGTGGTCAACTTTAAAGTTTCTGTTGCAAACTTTACAAAAGGCATGTGACAACCATAAACGTTGATTTTGACAACCAGCCACTGAACTTTACATCGGTCTCCCATTTCTCCAAGTATTTGCACGAAGCAACACGCTTTTTCTTCTTAAGCGGCGAAAGAACCATTTTGCAAGTGATAACTTGCCCTTCATGATCACGATTTTTATGATTCTAACACCCAAGCCAAGAAAAACAACTTCGATTCTTTGATTGTTGACAATGCCGACATTAATCAACTGATGAATGCGTGATCACCGACTTTTGATTGGATAAAATTAGGTGATCACGATTTGTCTCCCTTGGGAAAAGTTCAAAATCGGGAACAAAAATTTTTTTCGTGTAAATTTTCATAAAATCATGTTTTTGGGCTATTTTTAAGATCACGATCGTGTAATCAGGACAAAGGGTCAAAATCGTGTAGAACACGCCTAAATCGTGAAAGTCGGCAGGTATGATTATCACTTGCAAAATGTTTATTATGCTGTCTAAAATGAAGTAATGTATTGCTTAAAGTTGGTATCTAACATTGGAGACTGATATAGATGTTTAATTCAGTGACTGGTTGACAAAATCAGTGCAAAGGATATGACGTTCCTTCTGTCATAGAGAATCAGAAAGGACTGGATGACATTTCAAAGCAGTTCTGTTCTTCATTAAGAATCCTTCCAGTTTCAGAACAATTTAAAGCCTGTCAGTGACTTCTACTGACAAAGATTGTGAACATATATTCCCAATGGAAAAGAAGATACAGATAGACACTAATTCAACCTTAATTTATCTCCTTACTATGAAAAACAACAACACCAACAGGTGATACAGCTTCTTTCCCCCAAACCAACTCAAGACAGCAGAGCATGGTTGTTACAGCAAATTAAGGAATGTTCATTTGACATTTCAGTGTTACTGATCCTTATATTGTTGTCATTTTTATCCCATAGCTTACATGTTAAAGTTTGTGATTAGATTAGTTTAAGGCAAATGTTGATATTTTGTATGCAGTTGTATAAGCATTGTCAAATCTCATTTTCTTAGAGATTACAGATTATTGTCCTGTCAGTTATAGTTAATCAACATTGATAACAAAAACATACAAAAAATGCCACAAAAATTTTTACCCTTAAAAAATGTTGTCACACACACACAATCCCAAAGGCGTTTTTTTTTAAGTTGGCAGTATGTGAACTTAATTTATTTGTGCTTTGGTGTTTTGACCTTCATAAGAAATGGTAATTGTCAAAATTACAGAAAGCCAAAGGAGTATGTCATAATTTTGAGGAAAAAATTAAAGCAGAACTGTTTGCTAGAGTCCGGAAGAACCTTAGTTTTTAAATATATTGTTGTCAGAAAACCACTGCAAAAGACCCATTTTCCATGCAGTTGCACTAAGGTTTATAAAATCTTTGGTAACAACCTTTTTATTGCACTGGCCATAAATCATTTTAGGTTTCATAAAAATATATAACATTTTTCTTGGTTTTGAATGTTTCCATTATTTGAATAGTTACAGATGTAGCATTTTGTTTAAATTGTCAAGAATTTGGAAATATGTTTTATAGAATTTCCAAATGGAAGAGACTTCCTGTTCATCGCCATTGACTGAAATAATGCAGACATCTTATACTGTGATAACTAAAAAGCCATTACCCACAATTCCAGAGGATGTTTCAGCAGAAGATGGAGTATGTAATGTTTATGTACAAGGTATGCTATTAAAATTACAAATATATTGTATGTTTCACTGATGAATACCTGTGATTTCTAACATTTTTTGATTATAATTCATTTGTCTTTGAAACATCTTGAACAATAATAACTGATTTATTTTCCTCTTTCAATTTGCCTCATTATTAAATATAAGTACCTTTGCAACTTTTTTTCCAAAATATTGCTCCAAAGGAATTGGTTATAAATACATTTATATACATAGGTTTATCAGTGGCAGTAAGTTATTTAACTTGATATGTAAACAAATACATTGGAACATGTTCAAATTTGTCAATTTTAGGGTACCACATGAGGTTTTCATTAAAGTGTTCAATAATATTATATTGGTCAAAGTGATGTTATTTGATATGCAAATAGGGAGCTTACAGGCAATACATAGATTGACATTATCGCACTTGTTATAATGTTTATTTAGACACAGGTATTTAATGAACTTACTCCCATTGAAGAAATATCACATAATAGAATATACTTATTCTAGAGACCTAAAATACAATATTTTTTATTTAAGCAGCAAAAATTCTGGAATTAACTGCCAAGTTAACTATATACAATAAAAAAGCTTGCAACATTAAAAAAACCTCATGGCAATATTATGGCCTGGTTACCTACAGTTTATGAAAGTGGCTTTTGTGACACAATTTAACAGCTCTGCAGTTAATCTTCCATTGAGAAAGAATGCAAGACAAAACATCTAGGAATATGAGCTTATGAATTAAGATAAAACTAGAATGTAGTTGATTCAAATGAAGTACACATATTTTTTAATCAAATGACATAAAATGATAAAGCTAAGTCCATAATATACATGAAATACAGTAATAAAACATACAACAACAAAAATACAAAGCAACACAATAATGTAGTAAAATGGTAAATTGATATTATATTACATTTTGTCCTCTTTATTGTAGAAGATATAAAACAACCAGAACAGTATATGTTAATTATATCAGCAGCAACACAGAATATGTGTGAACGTTGTAGAAGATATACCTCAGATTCAGCTAAAACACCATGTGAAAGATGCCTTAATGTCATGGCAGGGGATTGGAAATGAACAAGTGTTTATAAATGACTATATTACACTTGTCATTGCTTAAAGTGGGACGAAATTCAATTGTGTATACATAAATGACGGATTAGTGTGTTCAAATACCTAAGAGCTCTTTTTTGCTACACATATCATCATTGCTAGTTGAACATTTTGTGTTTGTCAATGGCTGTTTGGTATGTTATGATTGACAAATATTGTTTTGAAACATTAAGATAGGGTTGATGAAGTAAAATATACATCTTCTTGTTTGTTGTATGGGGCAATCTCTCGCACCTGATTGAGTTTTCCCTGGGCACCTTACATGACCAATAAATTTTGAGTTGAACAAACCCTTATAGAATTTTAAAAGTGTCTAATAAGTCAATTTAATGGCTGGATATTGATTGAATGTTTTAACTGATGATATATATATATATTGTGTACTTTATTATGTCAATCAATATGTGACACTATAATAAAATAAATTTATCTTATCTATACACAACTTTTCAATGTTATGTTTGAACAAAAATACCAATGTTGCATAGAAATACATACATTCAACATTTTATTCTACTTATCAGATAAGCTCACAAATGCATTTAATTTCAGGGCCAATACCAAAGTTATACCCATTTCATTTATAAAGATGTAGGGGAAAGTATTACATCATCATATAAAGTATAAAACTCTGCTGGTATTATAATTTTGACTTTAAAAATTATGTACAAAAATAGCTGACAATAATTACACTAATTTCCTAAAACATCCTAATTTCAAAGAACTGAATGCTGTTTTTGCATAAACTAGAAATTTGTGTTGAATTAGAGGCCTGAAAAAAACAAAGACTCTTTTAGTTTTAACAGTATTATCGACTGTGTCGATAATTTCCATATTGTTAGATCTGTTCTGAATTTATATGATATGTGCCATCAGGAATTAAAACTATTTACAAAAAATGTATTATTGTGAATGATTTACAATATATATATAATATATTTGTACTAGTGGTTTGTGCTAAGATTTCAGAAAAAATAAAAAATAATTTTAACTGTGGTTATCATTTCAAATATGGCCTACACAATGAAATATAGGTACCATTATGTTATATTGCTTTAACAAATGAACCATGTACAATGATTATATGTATTTGAACAAAAACAGATACAATAAATTCAGAAATTTTTGTGATGTTTTTCTTATTGCAAAAATTGCGACACGACAGGTTTCACAAAATCAAAAAACCTGCATTATGAATTTGATGCCATTATTTGTATGCAACCTTTCCTGAAATCGCATTTCTGTCCATTTTTCAACAATGGAAAGAAATTTCTGAATTTACAGTAGTCTTGTTTTTTGCATTCATGGAATTACTGTACATGTATACTACTCCCATATTTCATTGAAATTCATAATCATTCCTTTGATGCAATATGTTGTTTAAATGTTGAAGCCCCCCTTTAGGACTTAAAGTTTATGATAAGGTGACATAGATGAGACATATCTCAGTGTCAATAAATGTTTTAAGTTTATAATTTGGTAAAACAGGTCAGACACATCTCTGTGTCAAAAGTTTCTGTGATTCAAAAAGTATATAATTTCAAGTTATACTTACCGATATGTTAAAACATTTTGTTATTATACATAAACTATATTGTTGAACTTTTCTTGTCAGGACATGACTGATAGTCTGCAATTGCAGAAAATATTGAGGTTTAAAAATAACCTCAAAAGTTGTAATAAATGGTCTAGATCACAAATATGAAATTAATGTAAAATTATTAATTTCAAGAACAGACTTCAACTTAAATTTGCATCTTTTTGACCTTTTACAAAACATTTTTCCCAGGAAATGTTTTACAAAGGAAAAGAATCTTCATATGTCATCAACCTCCACACAAATGGTAATGTTTGTTCCGAATAGCTTTTACAGTATTGAAATTTAGGTTCAAACAAAAAGCATGTACTATAGAAAATAATACCTAGGAAAATCTGCATCATAATCTGTATCAAAACTAAAGTTCAATATCAGGCAGAGGCCTGAAGGTTAGTGTTGATATGAATAAAGGTTTGGAACAGAATGTGATACAGATTTAACAACCATATTTTCAATTTATCATATATGAAAAAACATGATATTTCAAGAATAATTTCAACTAGAGGCCCCCAAGAGCCAGAATCACTCACTTGGTTGTAATTTGTTCATTTACAAAAATCAGAACCAAAATGATGATTTGTACGTACCTGTGGCAAGAGTTTTACTGGCATTTGGAAGAAGACTAAGGGATGACCATATTTCTACACCCCAGTCAATTCATTTGGTATAACAAAAAACCCTGAATCAATAATTTACCAGTTATACATAGATTTTGTTGTTGAAATCTAAAACGTCACTGCAGACACTGGCATAGCAAATAAGTTGGGAAATATGCACAACATAAATAGGGACTGAAGGAACATCCCCATCCAAAAAAGGAAAATTACCAATAGGAAACAAAATAATAATTTCCTGTTAATTTTTGTTTTGTTTTGTTTTTCCCATATGAAACTCAAATAATCAAATCTAGTAAAGGACAAATATTGTTGTTTGTATTTGATTTACTGAAAGTAGTTTACTTTGGTAAATTTCTTCTGAGAATTCTTGATTAATTTTAAGCAAAATTATCATCAAGTTGAAGGTAAAAGTTATTACATGTATATGTTTCTATTAAATGTAAATTAGGCAAATCTTTACTGAGTTTGCCCATTGAACTGCACTTCCTAACAAAACCGGAACAAGTCTGTTATTAATGGAGTGCAAAAAGTGGCCATTGAAATCCAATAAATTGTTGATACACTTTATTGCAGAAATGTACATAGGCTTTGTGAAGTAAACTGACAGCTTTAGCCACCTCATCACAGTTCCAGTAAGTGTGTATAACTTATTTGCCCCCTTTTTTTTTTACCTTAAACAGAAGGACATTCATAGAAACATATCTTGAAAGATAAATTTGAATCAGAAGAAGGTATTTTGAATATCAGGCCAGTTTCTCCTTTTTATTTTGGCCCTTTGGCACGATCCTGGACAATATAGGACGAAAACAACAACAAAGTTTTTTTTATTTCATTGCATCTATTCTTAAAAAAGGTTGGTTGACTGTTCGTGTTTAACACCTTTTATTCAGCACTGTTGGCTATATTGTGGCAGTCAGTTTTTATTGGTGTGGGACAGAGTGCCCAGAGAGAACCACCAACCTTTAGCAGGAAAACTGACAATCCTTGTCATTTGAGATTGAAGTCTAACGCACCTGTTAGTGAGGGGTTTCTCACAACCTCAGTGTTGATAGGCTAGTGATACAGTAGATGAACTACTTGGACCACTCAGCCAAGGCCCCTTCTTGAAAAGAAAAGCAAAAGGTAATTTTCCCATAGGGTTTACATGTAAACTTTGAATTTCCACAAAAATAATCACTTGTTAAGAACCTTCACAGGAACATATCTGTCAAGTTTGGTTTTATTAGTTCAGCTGTTTCTAATTTTAGCGAAGCAGAAAATAGAAACGCTCATTGTGGTAATGTTTGTTTGTCGTGTTATCACAAAAGAAAGACTAACGGATGGAGAACTGACCCCAACTGTTGGCAAAAGCCCAAAGTGTATGCAACACAGAATATGTGATAAAGGGTAAAAAATATATGTTATAATATTGTTTGGTTATCAGAAATTCAAAACAGGCATGGATTCTGAAACATGTCTTCAATGTTTTACCCTGTTAATCTGTGAGACATTGATTTTTTTCAGTAGTTTATAATATTTTTTTACAATGACTATACAATCAGGTATATCTAGTATGAATAAGAATGTAAGTCAAGACACCAAAATAACATTTTCTAAACAACCAATTCCTTTAGCTATGGTTCTTTCCTCATAAATGCTAATCTTGCTTTTTTTGCCTCTGAAAAAGTTAAAAATTATGTTCAAATAGTTTGCTGGAATCTTTGGCGCAAACGATACAATGTTACAGTAGTAATATATATGCACAGTGAGTACTAGGACTACATGATGAAGGAGGTCTTTTACTAGCATTTGAAGACCTCCAAAATTGTATTGTTCTTTAGATAATTAGTTCCTCTCTGGTATTTTTATACACACATTTGAAGAGGTGGATACAATGATTTATAAACCCCAGAGATGTGATATTAACCTCTGGGTTGATAAATAATTGTTCAAACTGATATCAAAAGCCAACAATTGTTTTATTATGTGACTTTTTGATCCATCTCCAAATTTCTAGTATTTGCTCAAGATTTAACTACTCCTCGTTTTTATACTGGTAAAGTATATAATACCATGGTTTCACAGGCACTTGTCTCTGAATATCGACTTACCGTAATTTTTTAAGGTATATTACTGTTACTGTTACTGGTAATTTCCTCCTCTCTCAGGAGCACTCCCAAAGGGATACATAAATTTTAAGATATAGTCTAAAAAAGATATTTACAACTTACGTTAAACTGAACAGTTATCCCACCACCCTTGGTTATTGCGTATACTAGAAGCATTGTTCATTTGGCATGTTTTTAAGTTTCTTTACACATTGTCTATTACTTCTTATGTTTTATCTTTTAGGAGGTAGGTTCTCATCACATGTAGTCCATAACAAAATGTTCTAGTTATTTGCTCAATGTCAGTATAGTTGTCCTTTTTTAAGTGAATAGATGTTCTCACACTTTCGCAACTAGAGTCAAGAATAAGTCGCATTAGAAGTCCTTCTATCTCAAGATCTTTGTACGCTCCTTTTTTTGATGTTTTCTATATAACATTTTAGAGTGGTCAAGTGTTTTTTCCTTACGTCTTCTAATCTATCGCATATCAATAAAAAATGTTCTATATCTTCTGTATCATTTAAGCACATTTTACATTTTGCTGCTTCTTTGTTATTACTAAACTTGGCTCTATTAACTTGTAAAGTATAAGTTCCCGTTAACAGTCTGGCTTTTATTTCAGCTTTTTTCACCTCAATGTGACAGTTTGGTACAGATTTCCAAATCTGATGAGCATTTCCAATAGCATGTGACTGAATATGCAGTAGTTTCAAGGTTGACTTCTGTTGTTTCCCTTCTTGCCACTTATCATCCCAGTAGTGTATTATATGTTTCTTTACTGTTTTTTTTTCCATTTCAGGGTATCTAATTCATTCTCTAATAATGTTTCAATTTCTGGTAAACCATATTTCTCTAATCTCTGAATAACTTTAATAATGTAACTTTGCCCATTGCGTTTTGCCATACTTAGTTGTCTTTCTAAAATTTTGAATTCTAAAGTTTCTTTGTTGTGGAGGAGATTTCCTAGGAATGTTAATATTAATCGGTCTACAACTACCTCAACTGGCTCCACTCCTAGAAGTGAGTAAGAGGCAATATTTGCCGTCCGGTCTGGAAGACCTTGAATTTGTCTACATACTTTCAACTGTAGTCGCTCTAATTTAAGGATATCTGACTCAGTAAAATTCATTACCTCTATTCCATATAATGCTCGTGGTATGACATACGTTTTCCATATTTTATAGGCTACTATTGGAGACATTCCTTTCCTTTCATGCAGTCCAGGTCCAAGTAAAGCATATAGAGTTTTTCTTGCTAGTTTTAGTCGATCTTCAGTGTTTAGTTTGTTTTTACTATTTCGTATCAGTCCTAGATGTTTTGTTTCACTCTTTTGGGTTATCTCATGTTTTCCAAGGTATACTGAGAAATTACTTTGACACTTAGTGATCGGTACCAAATCTTACTTATTTGGGTTTATAGTTACTAGATCTCGTTTTGTACAGTTTTCAACAATGTCCAATAATGCTTGTACTTCATGTTGGTTTTCTGCCAATACAGCTATGTCATCAGCACATGTTGGGCCATTACTTTTATGTTTCCTATTTTAGCTCCAATGTCAGATCTTTCTAGTGCTTCCAGTATATTGTTATTATATCTCTTATATAGAACTGTTGACAATTTAGCTCCTTGTCTTACACCTTGTGTTACTTTCACTTCACCTGAGAGATTGTTATTCCATTTCACTTGTATA